TATATATTTATATATAGTTTTAAGAAATAGTATTTCTGCCATCCTTATTTGCTATATTTTTAAAGTTATTCTATAACAAATGCATTAGAATAGAAAATTCAATTATTATTTGTACTTTATAATATTTGTCTTTATCTAATAGATCTCTTCTAATGTATCTAAACGGCAAGAAATCATAAATGATTATTTTCATATAATTCTGTCAAAAACACATTCTCACATCATGCAATTAAGGTTAATAGGATAAATGCTCCCAAATTCAATGAATTGCCAATCTCATCATTATTATCGCAAGCAAAAAATCTACTTTCGGATTTCTATTTGTAATTGTAATAGGTTCTTGAAAAACAGGTATCTTTGGTAAAGGTTGAAGTATCAGCAGCATCACCACAAGCACCATTCACCCATGCATATAAATAATAATCGGTAGCTTTTACTCTAATAAATCGCATTCTGCTTGGGAGCCGAAATCTGAACATTTTATAGAACGGCAAACTGATCTTTCATATTTACAACCATCACGGTCATTACAATAAAGTTTGAAGTTGTTAAGATTTGAGCAAGTGTTGACATAATATTCTTCAAAAGTGGAAGTTTTCCATTTGCAAAAGTCTTCAGCATCACAAAGGACTTAAGATGTTATATCTGCACAAGTAAACGTGTGGTCTTGATATTCAGCAGATGACGAATTTCAAAGACACCAAGATAATACTTATCCGCAATCTTATTGATTCAGCTCTAAGCAGACACAATGTGGGAAACATCTACAAACAAAGAAGTTGTTAAACCAATAAGGTAAAGTGAGATTAGAAGTTATCTAAACATTTTATTGAACTAAAGAGTACCTTTTATAAACCCCTTTTAAGTAGCGACAGGTAAATTAAAATCATAACAATAATTAGGATATTTTGAATTAATTTAAAAATACTTCATAGTATTGATCATATTTACAAATGAAATTCAATTGAACAATGCATGTTTTGAATCTTTTTTTTATTAATTTTTAGAAAATAATATTTAATTTGAATAATTTATAAGATATTTTAATAAAATTGACTCTAAGCAATTCATAATTATATCAATTTAATAAGAAAGTTAGATAATGATCAACTAAATCTGAGTAATCTATTGAAATTCAAAGTGAACTATTATTTAGATAAATGAGTAATGATGGGTAGTATTTAATTACTTTGGATTCTTCATCCAAAGAAATATAAATTAGGAAATTTAGATAAAAATGAGTTTCAGTCAAATTTAAATTTAAAGGCAATCTAAATTTAAAATCTAATATTTATTTAATTTTAACGAATTATCTTTGAGAAAAGTACCCTTCTTCGTGATCCAAATCTTAAGTGTTTTAATGAAGGGTGGCATTGGCATCCGTGTTGGTTTCCACATCTCTCATTTTAATTGTTAACACTTCCGTTGTCTCAATAAATCCATCTTTTATCCATTCGCACAACATCAATCTTATAAATATTAGATCTATTGTGTTGTATGATTAAATTAACTAACTAGATGCACTATTTAATTTAACAAGATTGTATAATTGCTTAGAGATTTTATCGTTCTAATTAGGAAAATAATAGAAAACAATTTAATAATATTCACAATTTAATCAATTTTAAATAATTAAAATTGTTCTCTAAATTGTTTAATTAAATAATTCTCACACAAATACATATTATATGATTAATTAAAGTTCTAAATTATCATGTTAATTTCAGATTTCTTTTTATTTTCAAACTATCTTTGAGATTACAATAATAGAGCATAAAAATACAACAAGTATTTATATATTTTAAATTAATTGGATATGTAACACTTGAAGAGATGTCATTTACATCTTCAAAAATACTTTAGAATCCTAGTTTTTCAATTTTTACAATGGCAAAGTGTCAACTCTATCAATAGTTAATTTAATATCACAACAATGTAGAAATTAGTAATACTTATTAAAATATTTAATTCATTATTTTCAGTGCTGCTTAGATTGTGTTTATTCTCAATTCATGTATTTGATATTATCTTGTGTCATAATATAAAGATTGAAATAATGAATAATATAACTTGTCCCTATTAAGTGTATTTATAAGAATAGCTAATAGAAGCTAAAGAGAATTTCTGTAAGATTTATGAAAAATTTCAAAATTGTGTTTGTTATTTACTTATTTCAGGAAAATACCATAATTCGGATAGTGTCTTTCAAATAATTCATATCTATTTTTGAGGCAACATTATTAGAGATAGTAAAATTGATTCAAAACAAAAACTGGTTGTTTTAATTTATGATCGATAAATAGATAACCTTGAATACTGTCAGAGAAGATAATCTGATATTATAATTTTAACAAATAAATATTTAATACGAATTATATATTTAAATTTGTAATCATGGATTTTAGATATATAATAATAATAACATTAATATGTTTAAAATATTTTGTTTAAATCATAACAAAGAATGTGTTATGGTTGATATTAATAAAGAAAGTGCTTTTACAAGGCGATTTGGTTGTTCAAAATGCATTGAAGAATCAATAAAATCAAAAATAGATAAGTTTGATTAGATCAAAAGTTTGGAATCTTTTTGGGCATTATGGGAAGTAATTTCTAAAGATAACAAAAGTCTTATTTAGGAAACTATCAAAAAAATGGATGAGCATACTAAAAGTTTATCAACATTCAACAATATTATACTAACTAGTATAGTTGAAGTAACTCATTTCTTTTAACAAAAATTATTAGACTAATTAAAGGTTTTTGATGTAGAACCTCAATATTTAACAGAAAAGGACTTATATTAAATAGCAGAGAATCTATCTAATAAAAAGGATTATTTGGATAATTTTAAAAGTTAATAAGAAGATTATTACATTTCATATTTAAGAGAGATTTAAAATATATTGGATTAAAATAACATTACAATAATTTAGAAGGTAAAAAAACACAATTTAAGTCTTGCTCATCAGTAAATTAACATAAAAATTACACTTCATAAAAAGTCATTTTTTTTTTCTAAATAAAAAGGAATAATTGGTATATTAATAAGTTTTTGTATAATAACAATGATTAATTCTAATTTATCAATAGAATAGATTTATTAAACTTTAAAATGTAATCAAAAAATTATCAAAAGTGAGAATGAAGTTAATTCATATTCTAATGAGTCTTTATCGATAGATTATATTAGTTAAACTTTAAAAACTAATCAAAAAATTATCAAAAATGAGAAAGAAGTTAATGAATTTTCTTATTAGCTTATGTAATCAAATATATAAGAAATAAAACTACGTTGTTAATTATTTGCTTTTAATACAAACAATACAATAATGATAGCTGGTTGCGAAAAATAGATTTAAGTATTTTAATTCGCTGATGGAAATCTATATTCTAGATAAACTATCAGTTCTCATAATCATAATCTTACCGCTTTATACCATATGAAGAATTCCGAATAATTTGTATCAGGTGATATGGATGGGACAATTCTGATTTTTAAATACAATTCGACCAAAAACAAATGGGAATAGTAATTAAGAAAAGAAAAATATCATAAAGGTAGAATAAACAAAATCATAATGAATAATAATGAGAATCTCATTATTACAGGCGGCAATGATAGCTCTATCATGTTTTTGAAGTTTGAAAAAGATATTCAGAATTAATAAAAAGTCTTTTAATTGAAGAGTTAGGTATTAAATCTTATTTTGAATGAAGTCGAAGATGAATTAATTTCCTCTGATAATGAGGGAACTATATATGTGATAAAAAAACTCTATTAAGACAATTGGAATGTAAGCTAAAATATTATTACAAATCCTGGATTTAAATTAACTTTTATCGATACTAATTAATTTGTTTATCAATCAAACAAAGGAGATCTGTAAGTTTTTAAACTGCATGATGGTAAATACAAGTAAATTTAAACTCTTGATTTGAAAGGAGAAGGAAATTAAAATATTTGCCATATCCCTTAAGTTTTTATCAAATAGAAATCCATACTGATCAGTATCAATTATAAATAAATAAATATTATAAAGAAGAACTAGAATGGAGATCTTGAAATTTCTAAATCAATTGAGCTTTCAAAAAATCCTGTCTATGGTGGGTTAAGCAACAATGGATAATATTTAATTACTTTGGACGAAAAAGATTAGGGGCAATTACAATAATTTGTTTAGTAAAATTGAAATTATTAATTGCTAATATATTTATCATAAGTTTTCAAGTAAGCTGTCTATATCTGTATGAAAATCATGGTCGATTAATCTTAAGTTTCTATTTTTAAGTATCTAATTTAATTATTTGATATCTTAATATGTTCTTTTGAATATCCCTTCATAAATTCAATAAAAGCAGAGAATATTTCATATATTATTTGAAGATATATATGATGCTAATTGACGTTTGTTCCTTTTAGTTTATGGAGATTAATAAACTGAAATTAAATAAAGCCAAATAATACTTTTTACTTTGAATTAATCACAGTATTCTTTATGTTAGTTATTATTTAAAATTCCTATTAGTATTTTTCTAAATATATATAACATTTTTGCCTTTTTAACAAAAGATTTCATCTAAAAGTATAATTTTATTGTCTTAAAGGATAAAGATAATCATTCATAGTATGACTTTATTGAAAATCACAATCTATCAAAATGTATTGTGTTAATTAGTATTAATCCTTGCCTTCACTAGGAAATAATGAAAAATTGATTTAATAGAAAAAATTGTAGTATGATTCTGAATCCTTCTTGGAACAAAATAACTGAAAGATTAAGAAGTATTATATTTTCAATATAATCATATAAAAACATCCTCTTATTGACATTAAAATCTGAAGAACTTATAATTTCTACTAACCTTTTTTGCATTCAATTTTAATTTTCAATTGGTACTTTGTCCCTATGTAAATTCCATTATTAAAAATTGTGTACTTAATGTATCTTCATACTTCCAAAATATCAGATTCACTCAATGTTCAGCACATTAAGTGTTTAAGGCAGAGCATAATAAATCATAATAGTGAATTTAAAAAAGTTTTAAATTATTTTTGTAATATATGATTAAAAATCAATAGTAAATTGAGGAGAATATAACAATAATTAAAAAGCAAATATTTTTTCAGTTCTATTAGAGAGAATTACATAAAGCTGAGAACTACTCAATAATATAAAAAAAAACATGTGAATTTATTAAAATCTTAGAAATAAATACAGAGCCACATTTACTTCACAAAATTTTCAATAAGAATAAATGGATTAGGTTAGAGATTAGTGGTATTATAATCATTAATGACTGATATTCTGTCATAATTAAAATGGAAACCAGTTAAACTCATTTACTAAAATTATTGTAGATTTACACATATTACCTACACTTTAAAAACAAAGTTTAGGTTAAGACATATTATCAAATTTTACTAATTCTACTTACTTTTAATACTCTGATGAAAATATATATTGATTAACAATTTTTTTTAAATTTAAAGTGTTAATAAATTTCCAAGAATTAATACAGTGCATTTACAATCATTAGCAGTGAAATGAAATACTGTTAAAAAGTCCTTCTAGCCTGATAAAAGAAGAATATCCTTTTTCAAAATTTATGTAAATCCTAAATTTAGTAATTTAGTTGAGATTTATTGCAATTAAGAGGTTTTGAGGTATTACACAATATTGAAACCAACCATTTTATGTTAACATTGAGTCTGTTTTTAAGTAGTTAATTTTCAATTTGATAATTAATTTAGATTTAATAAAATTAAAGTTGATAACTAAGTTATTCATATAATAATTTAATATTCAACCTATTAATTGCCTAAAATAATAATAATCGATTAAAAGGAACAATAAAAAATAAATGAAAATTAATTAAAAGAAGTAAATGATTCATAAAAAAGAAGATTCAAAAATATGACGAATGGATGGAATTTCAGATCTACAGATGGAATTAAATCAGCCTGACTAAACATTAATTACAACAAATGGAAAATATAAAACAATAGCAACTTGCATCAAAGAATAATTATATATTTAATATTGATATAATTTAACAATCAGTATTCATCTGTTTCAGTGCGTTGATCATCATCATATTCAGGTTAATCCTCGAAAATTGAGAATTCTGAAAACTCTGAAAAATCATATGTTTGAGAGGAAGATATCGATTCTAGGTCATTAATAACTCTAATTATCAATTATCTAATTCTTTCAATTTACAAATCCTAAGAATAGGATTGTGAACTCTGATGTGAGGTATGTGAGCGTTATGAAGAAGATTACAATGATTATTAAGGTGAAGTTTAAATAGATTATGATAATGATTAAGATTAAGATTCAATCGAAAATTGTTGATATAGTTATATCAATTATGAATATTATTGTTACAGTCTTGAAATTTAATGTATAGAATCAGTATTTACAATGTTTGGGAAATTCAATTCAATTCCTTCATACAAATTTAACTTACAAATTTCTACCGCCAATTAAATATCAGATTCCTGGCTTCCTTAAACAACTTCATATTTATTTAATGGCGACATAAGCCCAATAAATTGATTCGCTATCTAAAAACATTCATCCTCTTTATATAAAAATAATTAGTTCTCTTTTTGTTATGCTTAATGTTGATTTCTTCTTTCTTCAAAAATTATATTTCTTTACATCTTCCTAATTTTATTACTATAAATTTCTCTACGATCATAAACAATTTCTAAGACATCTATTTGATAATATTTTTAGGATGCATTTTCTTATTGCTTGATTTAAAAATTGAAATTGATGTGATTTATATTATTTAGTTCTTAAAGTTTGCAGTACTCTTAAATTTTTTATTGTCTTAACATTTCAAATTAATCAATAATCAACTACTATTAAATGTTTTCCATTCTCAGCCAGATTAGAGTTATTAAAAATAATATTAAATCTCTGAGTTATCAAAATGTATAATTTAAAACAATATCAACCTTTTTCTCCTGAAAAATTTAATTAAGTATTCTATACAATTATTTTTTTACTTCAATTATATATATAATTTCTACCCTCTTATTAAATTCAATCAATATGTTTAGATGGGCATTTATTGATCGAAACTATCTCGGACTGAAAATGCTTGTAAAATAATTCCTTTTTGTGTGAATAATTAGCTTAGAAGATATAAATTCAGATCAAAAATCGCAAAGTTGGTAAACCTTATTCATTTACTGGAAGATCAAAATATCAAATTTATTGTATAATGATAATAATCGATCACATCTCAAATAATAGTATAAACAATTTTTTCAATAAATCTTTTTGTATATTCTTAAGGATTTTAAGCTGATGTATCTAGATCTATTTTTACATTTATGGCTTTTTTTGTCACTTATTCTATGAATTTTTCAGCATTCCATTCTTATAGGTAATCAATAATTGCAATATGGTAATATACACCTTATTCTTTTATCGATGGTATGCAACATAATTCTGAATTAAAAAATTTGGACATCTAAAACTAATATTAATAATTTACATCCATTTAAGGGTTTCTCTATGAGTAGGGCGACCAATTCATTTTTATAATAAGCAAAGAATAATCCATGAGATTTAACTCTGAAAAAAATTTGGAATCTAGAACCAAGCTGTTTCTTAATCTATCTTTAATATTTTCATGAATAAATAATTTGCCTTCCTCCTCCTTAAAGTCAATATCTTTGAGTGTAGTCTTTGTCAAATCCTTTGTGAAATCATTTTATTTCAAAACTTTTCTTTAATACTCAGATCCTTTTAGGTCATATGTTCTCATCACATAAGATGATGGAATTTAGAGAGCATTTCTCATTACTATAAATATTTGAGATTCTTATCCCTATAATTAAATAAGATTTTACATTTTTTAACAAAAACTTAAAGATTCCATAAATTGGTGAGATTAGGGACTCATTTCTATTTAAATGTAAGTAGTAGCTGCCCAAGTTTTTTTGAATTATCATTAATTCTTCTTCACTAATTGTTTTGATTAACAGTTTATTGTCAAAGGTAAAAAAAAAGAATGCTCCTCCCTTTCCACCATCAGGGCCTTTAAAAGAATTGATTTATTCTTAATTAGATATTGGATCGAAGGACTAAGAGTAATTGTTTATTTTCCTATCTTTTTTTCTCAAATTTTGAAAAACTTTTGGAGCATAAATTATAATAGTAGAAGCCATTAATCTCAGTTCAATGTCTAAGTCTTATTCAGGTGGAATAACGAACTAAGCTTGTTCATTGATATCCTCTTAAGTTATTTTATCATAAGCTTCTTAAATCTACTTGGATTCATTTTGTGATATTTGATTGTTTACTTTGTTATTTTTTTTTAATAATTAGCTAACTTTTGAAATATTTTCTGTAGAATTATCCTATTAAAATATTTATTATATGCTATAAACAATAGTATTAACCTTATCTAAGAGTAAAGTTCTAGCGATAACTACTAAATTCTGCTCTTCTGATACTAAGGATAATTAATTTTAAAAATACATAATGAACTGCCAACTTCTGATTTTGATGAAAGCCTTTTCCATATTAATAAGATTTATCTGTTTATAGTTGGATCTCTCAGCCTTAATATAGATAAAACAAATGGAGTGCATAATTTAGCAGAATTTTCAACCGTGATAAATATTAAAAGCCACCCCTTGTGAAATTTAGTGCAATTAAGTCCAACTAGAATATAACTTATTGCTTGGCTTAGTTATATACAAAATTAAGCTGTTATGTACGAAGAATAATATCGAGTTACTTTTCCTATCAAATTTAAATATCTTTGATTTTCAGGAACAACCTTCTTAATATATAGCACTGTATAAACAGACATAAAAGTATTAACGAAAACCAAAACCAAACCAGCAAAATTGAATCCAGGGTTATACTTTAAACTACAGGTTCCAAATAATGACAATCCATTATAATTAAAAATTTTTGCTATCAAAGTTATAGATATCATGGTAAACCATGCTATGAAATGAAGAATGAGGTATAGTTTTTTTCTTGTTGTAAATTAATCCTTTAAAGTTATTCTTACATAAAGACAGAATATTAAATTGTATGTGACTTCTCCAGCTCCAGCAAATATACTTACAATTGAATTAACTTAGCAAAATATATCATCACTTAAAGGACTACTCTCATTAATCATAAAGTATATGCTTGTGCTGAACCAATGAACGCATAAGATTGCCTCACAAAAAGAAATAAAAAATATGATATCGCCGGGCATTTTCCAAGTTTTTGGATAAATAACAAAACTTAGCATAATAATCATTGTTAAAAGGAATGCTATTATTGCTAATAATTACAAAAATTACTTACGGAAGATTAGAAAACAATATTAGTCAATAGTCTGAAGTCTTATTGCTTAGGATAGCTCTTCATTACTTAAATCTGAGTTACAATCAACTACCTCTGAATCACTGTAAAATCCCTTAACTGATGTAATTGTTAAAAGGATTATGGCAGCATGTTTTAAATACATTTTCTGTAGAATTTGTATTGAAAATTTTATAATCTGATTTAATACATAAAACAAAAGAGAGAATATAGAATAAAAACTATCAACTATTTAATGTTCAAAAGAGCATTTTTTTTCTTTGAAAGATAACTTTTAACAAAACAAATTCAATTTAAGGAAAAAATATTAACCTTTTCTTTTTTTATATATATATCGATGATAACTTTTTAGATAGACATGTAAATGTTTTCTGAGAGTACCTTTGTTGCATATTGTTATCTCTAGGTATTTGTATTGGGTTGCAATCGGGAAACCTTGGATACTTAAATGTTTGATTTTAAACACAGAAGATACCACTCTTTAATTTATTTATTGAGAGCCTATATTTCAAAGACAGCACTGAAATTTTATGACTAAAAAATCTATATTTTACAATGTCTAACAAAGAATACAATATGAATGCATTACTAAAATTAATAAACACGCAATTCATTTTATGGTTTGAACCCAGTTTGTTTCTTTGATAACTTTTAGAAAAGATTTATTTGAATCTTTGGTAAAGGTTTTAATTCCAAGAATTTAAATATTGGGCTTAAAATTGTTGTAGGCCTGAAATAATTTTCCAAATCGCTTTTGGATTTGCTTAGGTTTACTTAATAAATTAGTAAAAACATGTAAAGTCAGAGAATTTAGTGGCTGGCAAATTATTTAAATATTCTGCTTTAACCTTTTTAAATTTGTGATAGTGGAACTATTAACTTGTTGTAGGCTAAATTTTAATTTCAATTTTAGTGAGGCAATGATAAGAGTATTCATTAAACTAATATTTATTTGCAGATTCTAAATGGAAATGTTAAAATGTGATCTATTCTACTTTTTACTACATTATTACGTTTTTACTCTAAAATTTATGTATATTAGAATGGATTAATCCAAATTAGAGATCAAACGATTTTCTTTTATAATTGAAATTAACAAAGATGTTAATTGTTTATTTTGGCTTCATTGCATTTATAAATGAACTAAAACCATGGATTTAATTCTTTTTTTACTTGTTAAAACATTGATTTTTTGTTAAAATAAAATTGAAGATGAAAATGTAAAAATATTAATTTCTTGCATTCATAATATTAATAATGAGAGAATCAAATTAAGCATCACACATAAATTTTACAAAATTCCTTACATTTTCGAATGTGAAGCATTTATGAATTCCAGTTATAATGCTTCCTAATTTAGAAGATGAGGATATATGTTAATTCTGTATTGTATAACTTGAGGAAGAAGTTATTTAATTAATTCTCTTTCTTGACTAAATTTAGCGTATTAATTTTTATTGAGGGTAAGTTCCTTGAAACAACATTAATTAAGAATTTTGTGTTAAAATCGAGACACTTATTTTTATTAATGCTAACTCGGATAGCTTGTGGAGTCTACTTAAGCCTTCACTCATTCCATCAGAACATCATTAATTGTATGGGAACTTCCATAAGGAAACTTGCTTTTGTGTTATTTCTTCATGTGCTTTTGATAATCTTCAAGAAGGAAAAATGCGTGTTTGCATGTTTTAATTTCCATCACACACAAATACTCGTTTATCATCATTATCAGATACTTTTTAATTTATTGTCTGATTGACTTAGTAATTTGATCACTTATACTTTTAGATTAGTGGTGTACGTCAAAGATGAAATGATGGTATTTATCTGAATTGAAATTTTATCCATAAATTAAGAGGTATTAAATGAATTTAATAATTATGAAGAATGAAATTGTATGTTTAGACAAAAAAAGTATTTTAACTCATAAGTATATTAAACGAAAGAATACATTTATATTAACCATTCTTTTAAATACTTAAAAATACTAAGAATAATTAAAAAAACTTTATAAATATATCTTTTATTCAATACAAATACAAATAATTAGATTATACATAGTTCTATTAATATTCAAAAATAGTGAATATAGCTCTCTCAAGAATATTTAAATATATCAACAAACTTACAATTATAAATAAAAAAGTATTTATTTATAGCATTCAATGTAGAAAACATAAAATTGTTGAAAATATATAAATTTACTAATAGAAATTTCAAAGAACGCAAAAATCATATAAAATTACCTATCAATGATTAGTCAATTCTGTTCAAATGTCTCAAATTACCATTATACTAAAAAATATATATATTTAATAACATTTAGTTAATGAAAAAAAATGAAAAAAAATCTAAATTTCCAAATAACATCTATGTTTTGATGACTAAAATTTACGAATGCATAAAACCATAGATTGACCTCCATTTTATTTAATATATCAAATTTAAATATATCTTCTAATTAATGAATTAGAATTTATGAAATAATTTTTATTTTTAAACCTAATCGGCTCTTTATTACTTAATATATTACATTGTTCAGTTTTAAATATCTCTAACTCACTTACTTACTAGCCATAAGCTTTTACTAAAAAATTATTTTTCCTTTCAAGCTTATTATTCTACAATTTATCTGCTTATTATTTAATACTACTCATCATATAATTTTAATTTTGAATAATAAATATGTCATTTTCTTATAAACTACTAGCGCCTTTTATTTTTCTAATCAAAAAAGCTTCGTTGAATCCTGATAAAATATGCTTCTTTGTACTGTATTTCATTTAAAGCACTAAGAATTTGTGTAACATATCACCTTAAATTGAATATTATTAAAGGATTTATATAAATAAATGAATATTAAATACTTTTATACAATCTTATTCAAATTCAATTTGTAAGACACTCTCTATTTGATTATTAATCAAAAATAAATCAAGTGAATATTATAAACATTTTTTGCTTGCTCAATTTAATTAATCCTATAAGAATAATTAAAAGAAATTAAATTAAATAATCGGAATAATGGGTTAAATTTCTTGTTTTTAAGGAAATGAATTAACAGAGTTTAATGTATTGTTACTCGGCCCATCTGGATCTGGAAAGACGAGAATTGTGACAGAAAAAACTTTGGGACCTACAATTAGTAATGAAAAATTTATATTTCTAGAGCTAGAAAAGCACTTAATAAAATTGAATGATACTCATGGATTAAATTTTTATGACACCCCTGGGATTCTCAGTTTATTCAAATAATGTCTGAATTAAGATATTATTTAAAGTGTTGATATTATTGCATGTTTTCCTAATTCAGAACAATACAAGGACTATATTAAGGAATTGCTACAAAATAATACTAAGTTATTCAAATAGATTCCATTTTATGATATTCCAGGAGATTTAGACTCTAAGGAGATAAGAAATAAGATTTATTTGTTTATATTGTCATAGAGTAAAAGAAAATCAAAAAAACCAAGTTATAATTAGGAAATTGTCTGATTTTGATCAATTTATTGTTTATGTTTCTTATATAAATGATAATCAATCATTTTTTTACCATAATCTTATGCGGATCAACATTAGAACCACATAATACAATTAAACATGAAAGACGCCCTATAGGATATAACATAAAGCCAGCATAAGCTAATGCTGCAGCTCCTTCAACAATAAGTTTGTGCTCATTCATTAATTTTAGTTAGGCTTCTAGTATTTGATCTTCTGTCACCAAAACCCAATCATCAACCAGATGCTTGCAAATTTCAATCGTAATAGCATTTTCTTCAATTCCACCAGAGGTTCCATCGGATAGAGTGTCAAGTAATTTCCCTTCTCCTTTTTTACGTAATATCTAATTGTATTTTTAAAGTTACATTGTACATTGCTGCGTTGTTGTATGGTTAAACTCCAATAATCTTAGTTCCCTTATTTTTTAGATATTTAAAATATAAGGCAATTCCTCCTATCAAACCACCACCTCCACATGAGACAAAAACAAAATCGAGTTCTTGATTTTAAGCATTAAAACTACATTAATATATTGAATTACAATTAATCTAATTCCTCTCCAATTGTGCAACTACCCAAAATCATATTTATATCATTATAAGGGGAGGCATAAATGCTATTATGCTGTTCTGCATATTATCGAGCTATTTTTTCACTTTCAACGCAGTCTTAACCTGCATAAATGATAGGACAAGTAATTTCTTTTAATTTATCTCTATTTACATTATTAGGTACAAATATGATTAAATTAGATTTGTCAAGTTCATCTTAAGTGTATTATTATTATTGTTATTATTATTATTCCTAAAATTCAGGTTGAGGAGTTGGAGTATTGTATTCATCCAATTTAATCTATTAAGATTATTTGTAATCTTGTTAAAGAATATCACTCTAATTCTTTGTTTCCTCATTACAACTTTTGTAAGCATAAAAACAAGCTTTTGCAAAATTACCTGTACTAGCAACAACAATTTATTGATTAGGCTGATCTTAAAAGTATAGAAAAGCACCTCTAATTTTAAAACTTCCAGATGTTTAATGACTCTCAAGTTTTAAATAAGTTTTATCCTTGATTTTGAGGATTGGGGTATTGATAATTGGAGATATATCTGATTTAAGAGTCTGATTAGCCACTGGGTATTTCTTTTTAATTTTTTTAAGGAATTCTTATGAGATAGTATCTAAGAGCGGTTTTCTAGAGGTAGAGCAATCTAATCCCATTTTTATTTTATATATTAATAATAAATTATGAGCGAAGAAGAATAAGTTAATGGGAAATTTGATTATTTGAAAGCCAAATATGTTTTTAGATTTCCTTTTACAATCACTGCATTAAAATGGGGATTTGGATTAGGTACTTTTTTCGGAATTCATTAATACATAAAATCAAGAGATGGAATGGCTAGTATGAGATGGTTTATTTGGGGTAATGTTTTAACTACTTTACCTATTTGGGGATTCTTTATGATGAAATATTCATTCTATAGCAGCGCTTTAAGAAAATTTGAATCTGAACAATCAAGATAATATGAAATTTAAGGTTTAACAAGAGTTTATTTGGCTAATAAGATGGGAATAGATCCAGAAAGCAGTGATGAAGATCTTTTGAAGTAAAATATATATAGATGATTTAGAGAGTATCAGAAGAAGAGTGAAAAAATAAAGGAAAAATATAACCTATTGGATGAATTATTAGTTGGAGTTGACTTTTCTTAATTTGAGTTTCCTAAGTGAATTATTAAATTTTATAATTGATTTAGAAGCACTATAAACTAATTAACATCATATAATTAATATGAATAATTTATTAAAATATTGCATAATTATTATTATCATTGGGTAATTTTCCTATTTAAAAAGCATTCTTGTAAATTATTATGGCACACATTTATTATTTTATTTAAATTAATACCTACATGGAAGGAATTTTAAGTTAAACTAAACAACGCATTGGAACTATCAATGAAGCTGCAAAATACTATACGGTGGACAACATTTTCATCCACTCTGGATATAGAATCAACTACTCTACTCCTTGGCAAATACTAAAATCACTCTTTTAGAAACATAATGAACTTATAAATGTTTGGACTCATTTTATAGGTTCATTTCTTACCTTCCTGTTAATTCTATACATTGTTAGTTATCATTATGATTATAGAAAAAGATTAGAATAAGACATTGACTAAATATTTAGTTTTAATTCGACGCAATATCCAACTCCAATCAACATCCAAAACACTGAGGCAGATAAACTCAAATATGAAGAACTTATTAATAAAATTGATCATTTTCAAAATTAAATGCTGACTTCTGAATCTTACAAAGAGATTGTTCATTTAATGAAAATTACAATAGAAATACTAAATTTTGAAGAAGTAAAAGAATACGCAATTGTATTCTAAAATAAATTTAATTTGTTTAAAGATAAAATAATATAAGAAGTAAATATTATTTAATATCAATAAGATCGACAGTGAACAATTTGATTGGGTCGAAATCTACAAGCATGACTATTCCCATACTTCTATATTGAAATAAGAAGAATTTCTCAGGAAAAACTCTGATCCATATCATGTTTCAAGATGGCCCATAGTTGTATTTTTGATCAGTGGTTTGATGTGTATGATTGGTTCAGCATTATTCCATCTTTTTTATTAAATGAGCGAAGCAGCTAATAGATATCTTATGAGAGTTGATTATGGTGGTATTTCACTGCTAATTTTGGGTTCCTGTTTCCCTCCATTTTATTATGGATTTTATTGTGATACATTTTTGAGATACTTTTATCTGATTACTGTAGGATCTGCTTGTTTGGCAGCTTATATTGTTTCTATTTTTGATTTTATACATACTGAAAAGTGGAGAAAAATTAAAGGACTTATGTATGGATCTTTAGGCTTATTCGCAGGAGTTCCAGCTGTTCATCTTTACTTAAGAGAGTAAATTTTTTCGTTATTTCAAATAGATTTTATAGAGAGGATATTTCAGATTATTTACCTTTCAAACACTCATTTATATTTTATATTTTGATGGGATCAAGTTACTTATTTGGTTTGGCTTTGTATACTTTAAGAATTCCTGAGAGGTTCATGCCAGGCAAATTTGATATTTTAGTAATTATCAATTTAATTTTAGGGTCATAGTCATTAATGGTGGCATTGTTTTGTTTTTTTAGGAGTATTTTTCCATTATTTTGGTTCTATTTACAACATGGGAGATAGAAAATTTACATTTTGTCTAATTTGAATTATTTATTATTATATTATCAGTTCTTTAAATTCTAGTATTGAAATGACTTTGAATTAGGAGTTATATTTGAAAATGTCATCTCTCCAGTACTTAGTCTTTATTAATTAATTTTTTAAAGTCCTTATAAGACTCTCTAGCCATTTTCTTTACCATTGGATCTTCCTCTTCTTTAAATCTCAGCATTCATCACGAATATCTAGTTTTCCAAGTTATTGATTATTATTTTATATTCTGCCACTTATTCTGACAACGAATTAGCTTGCTATTAAAAGTCTTCTTGATAACTAAAAATGATTAAATAATAAAGACATACTTTTATGTTAATAAATCTAATTGATTTTATAATTACAGATTTTCAGAGTATAATTATTATACTTAATTGTGCAAATCATTTACTTAAATTTCTAATTGATGATTGATCTCATCTTTATTTTCTAACTATTATTCAAATTCTTCTTATAATTCTTATTTTTCTTTAGTGAACTATTCTGCTAAATTTGACAATTATTTCTAAAAGTGTTATTCAATTTCTTATTCTTTCTTGCTTAATTGATCAAATAAATAATTATTTTGTTCCTTAATTTCATTCATTTAATTTTGTAACTCTTAATAGATAGATAATTTTGATTCTTAGGAACTCTTATTTTATAACTGAATAATCAATGATTATTATTCTTATTCTTTAATCAAAACTTATAGTTTGTATTCTTAAAATTATTATTGTAATGACTCTTATTCTCTATTCAATTTTTATAATAATCTCTTTGTGTCTTCTAATTGATTATTATACAATGCATTTTATTATGTTAAATTCTCATTATCTAATTATAGCTCTTCTAATTTTTATTCTAACTGGTGAGTTTGTTATATTGAATCATGATTTTCTTGGTAACTGTGCTACATAATAATCTTTTCTAACTTTTCTTAGAGTTCTTTCTTATCATTCAATAGTTTTGAGATGGAACATTACTATTATGCCAAAAGATTTTGATACTGTTCAAATTTCATCTCATAGTAATATTTATCAGCATATGCTTATGACAATCTTTAAATCTCATTTTCTTATAAGCAAATAGATTTTTGAACTTCTGGATCCTTACTTAAAATGACACTTTATTCATTAGTTTCAAGATCATTGTAATTAGTGCTGTTGTCATCAATATTTGTAAACTAAGAGGTTTTCTCGAATTTTTATTGATGCTCATCAATATAACTATGATCGCAAGCTTTATTTTCATAGGAATGGGTTTTATCAGTCAACATTAACGAATTTATTTTATTAATTAAAATATATTAAATGAATCAAATAAGAAATGTTATGAGTCATTTTATTGCTAGAACTTTGTTAAAATCTTTACGAATATAAAAACATGAAATTATCTTATTTTATATACAAATAAAAATTATTAAAATATGTCTGAGAATATCTAAAATAGAGTGTCCTCTATCTTTGAGAAATTAAACAATATTTCCACTAGTGTTCAGGATGAGTAATAATTTATTTGATGATTAAGAAAGAACAATCGTTTTCATGCAATCAGTTAATTGATCATGGCTTTTGAAGCATAATTACAACATTAGTCCGATTAAAAGGAAGAGAAGTTCACTTACATTGCTGCCAAAGTCAGACAGATAACCGAATTTTTAGAATAAGAACAAGAGAAGTATTTTAGAATAATTATACATTAAGTCGCGAAAGACAAGAAACAGAAACATTCAAATTAATTACAGACTTGGAAAGGCATGCAAGAAGATTGATTGAATAAAACTCCAAAGAGAGAGTAGAGTAAGAAAAAAAGATTGTGTATTCAATTGGATAATAAATTGAATCCTTGCAATAGGATGTCATTAAAGAAGGATTAGTAAAAAATGTATTAATTTAGGCATAATCAACTTCTCATGAATATATTGATTCTTATTTGAATGAAGATTTACCCAAAATAGCTGATGAATTGTAAAATGAAATCACAGAAGGAAAGGACGTAGAGGAGAAAATTTATCATTAATTTGTCGAATAGTTAAATGATTTAAGATCACTATTTGAAAAGTAATTAAATTATTTATATGCTTAAAGAGAAAAAAAGGAGAGAGAAATAAAAGAAGAGGAAATTGTAGAAAGTTTAAGAGAGATCTCAAATAGAATCTAAGAGTAATTGAAAAAAACAAGAGGGGAAAGGGAGAAGACAGAGGAGACATTAGTGACATTGGTTGAAAAAGTTATTGAAAAGCTGAAAAGAGAAATGTTGGAAATGAATTTATGAATAAAAAATAATTTAGAATTTATAAGAAAATTAAAATGTAATTCAGAATTTATAAGAAAATATTTTATTGAACATTTTTTCTGGAAGAATAAAAAATTTGATTATAGTATTAAAACGATCAAAAGTTTGACTTCCATCAATACATTACTGATTTCTGTGTTGAACAATAATACTTCTCACTGCTTTATCTATAATCATCTATTCTTTTCTCATTTGATTTTGAAAGGGGAGAATAATTTTTTGAATTTAAGTATTTTTTTTGAATAAAGTCTAATAAATGGTCAACTGAAAGTTCAAGTAAAGATATCATTATGATTACCAAATTCTATTATAAGAAGAAAAAAAGAGAACAATTTATCTGATTTCTTTATTATTAAATGAAACAATCCTAAAATATAAATACATTAAATATGCTACAAAAGAATAAATTTTTTGCTTTTAGTATTATTTTAATATTCATTTTTATATTAAACAAATTAATGTATCAAATAATTAATGTTTAATTTAGAAATAGCCTTTTTGAAATCCCATCATTTTTGTGCTTTTATAAATAGTCAGTTAATAAGATAATTGAAAAACAAGATTGTTTTATTAAACTATGAAATTTCAATATTTAATAATGCAAAATATTTTATTACCATATTCAAAGGAACTTTAAAGTAAAATAACTTCTTTATGAAAGGACTTGAAACTAGAATTGAAAATAAGGCTTAGAGCGGAGTATATTCAAATCCTCTATAAGGTAAATAAATTAATAACTTTAGAACAAATGCAAAGAGCAAAACTCAATATCGTACGATTAGAATCCATTCATTTGAAAAAAAAAAAATTAAGTTCCGATTACACTGAAAAGCTATAGAAGTTAAATGAAAAAATATCTAACTAAATGGAAACCAGTTAGCAGAAAAAAGACGAAAAGTTAAATGCCTTACAGAATAAATTGAAAAAGCTTAATTAACCAAAAAAACCTCTTTAAATATCGTTTCAAGAAGAGACTAGTGGCAGATAATAAGAGTCTCCGATTAAAAAGGAAATTTAATAGACTCCTTAAAACAAGGCTGTTTAGAAATCGGAGATTTATGAGCATAAAATTCAAAAGATTAAACTCGCTGAACCAAAAAAATTGAATGAGGTATAATTAATGAATTATTAAAGAATGAATTATTCGATTAGTTGAATAGGAGTATGGATGCTGCAAAGTAAAGGAAATCTGAGCGAATTGATATTATTAAAAAAAAGTTGCATGGTCAAGATGAAATTGTATTGATTGATATAGAATTTAGGTTCATTAACATATTGAAAAGTCGTAAAAAAATAAAGAAGAATTAGAATAATAAAAATTAAATTAGATTTATTAGAAATTATTACATTTAACATAAAGGACTTAAGATAAATAAACGAAACAGTAGAGTAAAGAAAGAAGAAAATCAACGTATTAGGAATTATCAAATAGTGGATCATAAAATAAGTATAAGGAATTAAAATAGCAAGATTCAAAAACAGAATCAATTAGAACAGCGAAATCTGTTTAAAATGATTATAAATTTATATAAGTGAGGCAGAGATTAGAAAAATTAAATAATGAAAGGGAAATGTAAGCTTAAAGCATTCTAGACAAACATTAGCAATATTCAACTAGAATTCAATAAAATAAACAATTATTAGATGAATTAGCTAATACGTGTTAATATTATAATTTTAAGATCAAAGAATAATATTTGTTATGATTTATTTATTTATTATACATATAAAAAATTGTCGAAGATAATTTACGCCTTATCAATTATATAAATAGCTTGTTTTATTATGCTCAAACAAAACTCAAACAAAGCTTTGTTCTAGTGTAGTTTAAAATGAAAGTTAAATCCATTATTAATTTACAAACATATATTAGATTTTTAAACTTTTTGGAATACAAAGCAGAGAATGTATTTTGAAATTTGAATAAATTAGCTGGTAATCGATTGAGAGAACAATTGTGGAATAAAAATAATTTCAAAAATTAATAGTGAATAATAATGGAAGCAAATTAAACACCTGCAGATTACAAATTGCAAGGTGATATATTTTATATACCTGTAAAAATTAAACAAATCCCTTATTTAAGAGTAAAATCTCTTTCATAATAGAAACATAAAAAAATGGAATGATTACACTTGATTGGTTGGACAGGAAAAATTCAGAATGTTCTTAACAAATATGATTATTGCACATAGTATGCAGTTTAAATTAAATCCGTTTTTCATTATAGATTTTTTCATTTTAAAACTGATTTACACCATGGAAATTTATCATTATAATTAATGAGAATCACCTTGTGCTTATTAGTCATTTTAGCTGTTGCAAGTGCTACAACAAAATTCAATTTAGATTATTCTAAAAAAAGATCTATAACAGCTGTTTTAGCTGAAGTAGAAGCTAAATTGAAGAACAAATCACCACTTGAAGCAATTTTAAATGTTTTAAGAGATTTCAGAGATGCTGTCAATACAGAATAAGTCAGTCATGATGAAATCTACAATATCTAACAAGTTGAATGTGCTTCTGAAAATTAATTCAGAAGTGCCGAAGTCCAAGATGCTAGCAATGTTCTTAGAGACTCAACAGCTGCTCTAAATGTTGCTTAAACATCCAAAATTAGAGCTACAAACCAATAAGAAGTCAACCAATAACAATATTTCTCAGCTCAAGAACACTTAACCTCTGTTTAAACTTCTGCTGAAGGTGAAGCTGGATATTTCAAGAAAAGAGGAAGAGATTATGAAGATGCTCTCCATGCCATTGATGAAGCTTCAGATATTTTGGCTTCCATTTATAGTGGATCAGGATCTTTCCTTGAAATTAGTAGAGTTGCTAAAAGTATGCTCCAAACAGCTTTTAGTATCAAAGAAACGACCAGATTTGCCCCAATCTTCTATGCATTTGCTTAATTGGCTACATAAGAAGGATAACTTGATGAATCAGCTCTTGAAAGAGTTGCTTAACTTTTGGAAACCTTAAGAGCCAATATCTAAGAAGCATATAATGATTATGCTGAATCAAATGCTGTCTCAGTTGCAGCCTTCAATGACTAAAAAGAAAGATTAGGATAAACAATTGCCAGACTTGAAGCTTAAAATGAAAGACTTTAAAATAAATTAGATTCCTTGAATTAATAAATTGGATCCTAATCAGCTATTGCCTAAAGAGCTTCAGGAAAACTCTAAAGAAACCAATAACTTTGGGATTAAGCATAAGCCTTATGCTCAACTTTTGCAAATGAATACAATTTTGCCACTTAAGCTAGAAGAAATGAAATTTAATTGGTTGCTTAATTAGAAGAACTCGTTGAATCCAGATTTAACTAAGTTGAAGATGAAAACCATGAAAGAAATTAAAGAATTGCTAGCCTTGCTTGATTTGATTTGATTTATTTCATTTTATTCCATTAAATTTAAATTTGTAACAGAAAAATGAGTATGTAATTAACTCAAAAACCGAATCCATTTTTTTAAGTCCGCTAACATAGCTAAAACCACAATACAAATACCATAAACTGTTAAAAAATGAGAATGTATTTAAACTTCTTTTCTTTAGGAGCATAATTGATTAAATATCACCCATCAAAGGATAATAATAAAAGAACACTCAAAGAGATTCATTTTATTAAGTTAAAGGCCAATCTGGGTCTGCAGTCTGTCTTCTCTCTAACAAGACGTTCCCAAGTAGATTTTTAGATAGTTTATATACATCCTTAAATTATACTCAAGAAAGTAATGTTGAAAAAAAGAATGGTATTTTGAATAAAGGACAAAAGCTTAACCTTGAAACACTCAAAGATCACTTTAAATTTGTTTATGATTACCTAGATGATTTCAAATAATAATTCGATAAAGTGATATAAGCTTAGATTGATTAAGTTGTTTAAGTTTTGAAATAAGCTTCTTAATTATCAAATGCTTTAATAGAAGAAAATACTTAGATTAAAAACTAGCTGAGCACTGTTGATATAAATAAATTGTAATCACATCTAGAAGAGTAAGAATTGAAGATTTCTCAAATCAGCAGTGAAAATCACCAATTAATATGTTAAGTAAATAAATTTAAGGAGGAAAATTAAAAATTAAAAGATGGAATCTTGCATTCCGAAAAAATCTAATAAGAAGCAGTGACAAAAAAGGAGAAAGAGAATTTAATTTCGTTAAACAATAAAGGGAAATACACTTAAAGAGAATTAAGCTATAAATTTGAATAAGCAGAAATTAAATTATTGACTCTTTAAATAAGCAACGATTAACTTAAATAATAATTATAGCATTACTAATTAGATTAACAAACCATTTCATAGATGAAAGATACCATCTCTACTCTAGAACTCAAATCCTAAAGTTTATTGAATCAGAAAGATGCTTTACAATAAGAAAATGATCTTTTGAATTAAAAAGTAGATAATCTCGAAAAATAATGTAAAGACAAATAGAAGACTCAAGAACTCTTAATTTATCAAAATTAGTTAGAAAATGAATTAATAAAATTTAAATAAGAATAGGCTCAAAGTCATTAGACTATTTTGTCTTTAAATAATACTATTTAATAGTTAAAGGAATAAATTAATATACTTAGAACTTAAAAAGATTAAGCTGAAGTATTAGCATATAATATAGTTAGAATGTTTATCAATTAGAGTTAGTATAATCATAAAATGAACTACAATAAGCTACAGCTAGATATTAAGTGTTGTGGCAAGAAATATCTGAAATGAAGGATAGATTAGAATAAAGGAAAATTGAAGAAGATAGCCATTACATGTTAACTAATGCAGAAAAAGTATTATTTGAAACTTAAATTACTAATCTGAATGACAAGATCAAGGACTATGAATAAGTTTTATTACAAAATGACTCAAAAATAAAGTTTACAATTTATTTATATTTTTTAGGTCGTTAGAATTATAGATAAATTAGATTTAATAAGAAAAGGAGAATTACAAATAGCAATTAGAAAAGAATGGATCTTTAAGCAGTAAGTCTTTAGATTTCTAAGAGTTATAATGGAAGATTAATCAATTAAGTAGATATTATCATATAATAGATAAAAGATTTAATTATTAATAAAAAAGAAAAAGAACTAACAAAAAAGTCAGAAGAGTTAGCTCAATTTAAATAGGGATACGATTTACAGATGAAAAAGAATTAAAATTTAGAAGGAAAGATTCTTCAATTAATGGAATAAGAGATTAAGATCAATAGTAATTTGATAAAAAAGCCATGATTTTATATATATTATCCTTACTAATAATAATAATAACAATGATATTTTTTATATTTCTTAAATTGTACTGTTAATAAATCATTTGAGTTATTCAAAAAAGGTTCTGGTGGAATAAATAATAAGAATTTCAATTTTAATAAATGCAAAACAGTATTCAAACATCATGGATTGACTACATTCTCTTTTATTTTACAGGCTTTGTCATCTGATCAGTAATGTGGATCGTATTGGATCTAGTCTTTATCGCACTCTTAGGTTTCTTCTTTCCATACAAGCTCGCTAATTCCTGCATCCTGTCTATCGTTATAGTCTGCCCTAATACTGATATCGAATTTTTTCTACGGTTTTAATTCAATTAAATACAGATTTTGAGATGTCTTCTTTTTTGGCAACTTAATCATTGTTTTAGGTTAAACTTATTATTTCTGTTACGATATAATTGTTGATAATCTATCTTATGTAGTATCAGTCATCAATCTTTCTTGACTCGAAATTTTAATTTATTTCTTCATTCTAACAATCTCTTTTGATAATTGCTTCCGTAATATTAATCATTTCAATACTATTATTTATGAATTAGATTTCTCTAATTGTTTCTACATCTCCTCACATGTGTCTTATAAGTCTTCGGCGTATATTTTTAATTGTTATTAAATCTAAATGTGCTTTCTTGCTTCGCTCTCTTTTTGAATTAATTGATCTTCCAATAATTTATATTGGTTCTTAAGATCGTGATATCCTTAGAGAAACGAATCCACAATTTGGCACATTATTCGGAAACAAACCTAAACATCCTCAACCATATTGTCTTGGCATGGTAGCTCAGCACTCTCGCTTGTATTCTCCATCAATTTTTTATAATAGTTCAGTATCTAATGCGAATCGGCTAAGGGTATACCTCCTTAAATAACTACTTGATTATCTTCTCTTCACTCTCCTTTTACATTTATATATTATAATAAATTATCGATTTTATTATACTCATCTCAATCCAATAAACAAAATTTAATAATAGTATTATTATTTATCTTATATTCAACATACAAGAAACTTTATTTAAATAATTATTGCAAAGATCTATAAAAAATATATAAATCAACTTTCTTAAATTCTTTAATTTAAGATTCGTAAGAGGATAATATTAACAAGTTATGAAGATCTTCTCAGATATGATCCTATTTTTGAGAAATAACAGAAGTTCCCCTTTGGAATTTTAAATTATAATTAATAAACTCTACTGTAAATCGACAATTCCGTTATTGGTTTACTTATAAACCTATACTTTTCAAATAATACTCTTACCTAAGATGTTTAAGGATAATCATACTTAAATTTAGTATTATGTAAATAAATGTTTTATGTACCTTCCAAAATTTTAATTTTCTAACGTAAATTTATCATTCAAAGAATTAATTAAAAAATAGGATCAGATATTCGAAATACGTTTTGATAAAATTTCTAATCTAAAAATTCCTAAAATAAAAAATTTTGGCAAGGAATATGATATTTCAAAATAAGAATAATCATATTTTAGGAAGTATATCTACACTTATCTTACATCTAGAGTCAAGTTTTGTCTCAAAATTATAACAGATAAACTTACCCAACAAAAAACAATAAGAAATTTACAATAGTTTAGGTTTGCTTGATGTTGCTTTTAATTTTGATAACTAGGTTATACATAATATTACAAATCTAATTGTAATATAGAAATGTATTTCTAATAATTATTATTTAAGAATAATCTAAATAGGGAGTGTTAATAAGTTGTTAAGCATTTATATTAATGAATGATAACTTAATTTAACTTAAGAAAAAGTCATTTTATTAATTCTTTTATTAAAAAAAGAATACAATTGGGATTTTGTTAGTTTAAATTTATTATCAAATATTATCTAATATATAAACAAAATTCTTGTTTTATCACTTTTAATTCTTTTTATACTTTTAATCTAATTGTTGAATAACAGTTTTGGAAAATTTGTATTTGCTCAGCATTAGATTAATAAATTAATTAGAGTCCAAATTAAGTAAATCTTCATTTGATCTAAGATATTATAAACCATTTTCAAAGTCATTTAATTGAGTAAATTTTTATTCTTTGTAATGAATGATTGCCAAGGCACATCTAAAAATAGTCTTTTCGCCTTCTACCAAGAAAATCTCGAAAACTCTATAAAATAGATTAATTGGTAGAGCAGTTGAGAATAATGTAATAAACCTAAAATTTATGAATTATGAATAACCATTCAGTTGTAAAATAGAATAAATCTATATTGTGACGCTTTAGTATTTTTGAAGTAATGGGATGATATTATTATATCAAATTATCAAGAATGTAAAATTCTCTATAAAGAGAATTGGGATCTTTGTATTTAGCTGTTAAATTGTAGTGAGTCATCAAGCGATAGAGAATCCAGAAGGCCTCAAAATTACAAAAGATTCTTACATTTTCATCATTTGTAACCATAATAAGAGCTGCTGTTAGAAAATTTAATCCTTAACAATATCCCATGTCTGGAATAGCTTCAGATAAAGCTTTGAGTACATTGACTAGAGATTCAGAAAGGACTGTTTAATCCTGAATTTAAAGAATAGATACTTAAAAGTTAACATTGTCTGGAAATGTGCGATGGACGTCTAACCTAATCTGATGCTCAAATTTAAATTTTTCTTTTGTTAAAAAATCAGAATATTATGACAATTTTTAAATGGTATTTGCTTATTCCTTAGCCTTTTTGATATTAGCTAGAAGTGGCCAAGCTAGAATTCTTAATCCATCAGGGATTCCCTCAAATAAGATTAACAAATACTTTTCGAGTTCTTTCTTTGATTAATTAATTGGTTTGCTTCTCAAACTCATTTATCATTTATCTCCACTTTTCAACTCTTGCATTAAGTGTTTTTCTATCTTTATAATGCTTTAAATTTATTTTTGATTTGAATCCATATTAATCAGTTTGCTCAATTTAAGCTTAGGATGAGATTTACGAATGAACCTCATTTTGCTTAGTAGCTTAGAAATCAGGAGTCTGTAAATTTTATTATGGTTCAGATTGGTTATCAAATTAAAATTCAAACAATTCATCTTCTTCTTCTTCTTTTTGTATGCATTATGTTAATTAGGTTGTTCTCATTATATAATAATAAAATGATTATATTTTCAATTATTTTTGCAATTGCTTAATCTCAATAAATCAAGCCTTACGACTTTGCAGTTTCTTTAATACAAGGTATATGTTTTATTCACATTGATAGTGTAGTCATCAATACATTATGATATTAGAGTTAATGAAGATGCAATTCTTTACACATATCCTAGAGGAGCAATTTATAAAAGCAATATCTCAACCAATAACTAGAGTTTATTATGCAGTGTATAACATGACACAATAACACTAACNAATTTTTATTCTTTGTAATGAATGATTGCCAAGGCACATCTAAAAATAGTCTTTTCGCCTTCTACCAAGAAAATCTCGAAAACTCTATAAAATAGATTAATTGGTAGAGCAGTTGAGAATAATGTAATAAACCTAAAATTTATGAATTATGAATAACCATTCAGTTGTAAAATAGAATAAATCTATATTGTGACGCTTTAGTATTTTTGAAGTAATGGGATGATATTATTATATCAAATTATCAAGAATGTAAAATTCTCTATAAAGAGAATTGGGATCTTTGTATTTAGCTGTTAAATTGTAGTGAGTCATCAAGCGATAGAGAATCCAGAAGGCCTCAAAATTACAAAAGATTCTTACATTTTCATCATTTGTAACCATAATAAGAGCTGCTGTTAGAAAATTTAATCCTTAACAATATCCCATGTCTGGAATAGCTTCAGATAAAGCTTTGAGTACATTGACTAGAGATTCAGAAAGGACTGTTTAATCCTGAATTTAAAGAATAGATACTTAAAAGTTAACATTGTCTGGAAATGTGCGATGGACGTCTAACCTAATCTGATGCTCAAATTTAAATTTTTCTTTTGTTAAAAAATCAGAATATTATGACAATTTTTAAATGGTATTTGCTTATTCCTTAGCCTTTTTGATATTAGCTAGAAGTGGCCAAGCTAGAATTCTTAATCCATCAGGGATTCCCTCAAATAAGATTAACAAATACTTTTCGAGTTCTTTCTTTGATTAATTAATTGGTTTGCTTCTCAAACTCATTTATCATTTATCTCCACTTTTCAACTCTTGCATTAAGTGTTTTTCTATCTTTATAATGCTTTAAATTTATTTTTGATTTGAATCCATATTAATCAGTTTGCTCAATTTAAGCTTAGGATGAGATTTACGAATGAACCTCATTTTGCTTAGTAGCTTAGAAATCAGGAGTCTGTAAATTTTATTATGGTTCAGATTGGTTATCAAATTAAAATTCAAACAATTCATCTTCTTCTTCTTCTTTTTGTATGCATTATGTTAATTAGGTTGTTCTCATTATATAATAATAAAATGATTATATTTTCAATTATTTTTGCAATTGCTTAATCTCAATAAATCAAGCCTTACGACTTTGCAGTTTCTTTAATACAAGGTATATGTTTTATTCACATTGATAGTGTAGTCATCAATACATTATGATATTAGAGTTAATGAAGATGCAATTCTTTACACATATCCTAGAGGAGCAATTTATAAAAGCAATATCTCAACCAATAACTAGAGTTTATTATGCAGTGTATAACATGACACAATAACACTAACAAATAACATAACTAAATAGATTTTTAATTCATCAATAGATAAAATTGATTAACAAAATGATCAAATTATAAACGTATTTCACATGAATAAAAAATTGGGTTTAGTGACAGAGTTTGATAGTTATATTGTATTCTGCTTAGAAAAATTAGAAATTATTAAGAAATACGAGTTATCTGATTTCATGAAAGCAAAGAAGGAATAATTTTAAAAAGGAACTTTTAGTGCTGAGTTGAATATGGCTTTTCTATTTTATTAAACGAAACTAATCATTTACGAGGAGAAAGGCCTCATTTTTTCTTAATCTATTCCAGAAATGGCAATTACAAAAGTGTTATGTAGTTTGGGATATATCTTTATTGCTACTTAAAATGGAATGTTAGTCTATTAAATAGATGTAGGAAACCAAATGATTATATTGAAAAGTCATATTGAATAGAATCAAACCATTAATGATATTGTTTTAAGTGCAAAAAATGAATACATATTTTTATTGGAAGAAGATGGAATACATATTTACAGAATTCTCTTTGATAATTAAAAATAGATTTAAATAAAAAAATATTCTATTTTACCATTCATACCTATTGAATCTTCATTTAATTTTAATTAAAATAATGATTCAAGCTTTGCTGTCTTGAAAAAATCTCAGAAATCAGTGATTTTTGTTGATTTAGAAATTAATTTAGAGTAAGGAGTTTGGTTTATAGTAAACTCTCATGCCCTCAAAATTGCTGCATAGAATTTAGAAATAAATAACAATTTTGTTGTAATCAAAGGTTCAGAAACCCACTGTATTATTAAACATTCATAACCAAATATCTTTACTGTATTTAAATTCATAATAATAGAATATTTTTAATTATTATCCATTTACATTAGCCCATACAGTTTATCTGAATTTTTATTAATTTGATGTTCAAAATTCATAAGATATTCTATTTGGTGTGGATTCAGATTCAATAACATTATTTTTAATTGATCAAATTTAAGGTAACATAGCATGTTCAACGAATGACACTAGCTTAATTGGATAGGTATACTTCATATATATTTAGAATTTTAATTATTAAATATTAACTAATTTAAGCGATTGTGAAAAAAAGTAATAATATTCTGAAGATATTCAAAGTAAGGATTTAATAGTGTGTTAATTTAATACTGAAATTGGAATCAATGTAATTTCAGATGATGAATCTCCTTTTAATAGGCAACTTTTGATTATACTGATTGTTTGCTTGGGAATAGCTTTATTCTTTAGTATTCTAGCCTTGATTTGCTATGGCAATAAAACAAGAAAGTAACTTAATTCATACTAATAAAAAATCAAAATATATTAATAATTTTAAGGTGATCAAAATGACACTATTCGTACAAAATAGCCTCCGCCAACTATTGATAACAAATTTAAAATAGATGAGTTTGAATAATGAATCTATTTTCTATTTTTAATCGTTTGTATTTTATAAATAAGGTTATCAATAACATAACACTCTTCCCTAAATATAATCATAACTTACCTTTGCTCCAATTAATTATTTGGGTAAATACATTATTCAAAAATTCTACTCATAAGGAGAGTAATTGATTGGGAATAATAAAATATTTGGTTATAGAATCATCAATTTTCTATACACATTTAAATGCCACCTAATCTTTTCCTTATTATATTGAAATTTGCATATGTGAGAATATATGTATTTTGAATTTTTATTGATATTATACAAATCAATCAATGCAAATTTGTTACTCAGGATAAGAAGACTATCTTTGAACCATTAATTTATGAATCTTATGTAAGTAGATACGTCTGATTGCTTCAGTAGTTGGGATTATGACAAAAAGTAATTGATGAATAAATTCTGCACTTAATTCATAAACTATTCAAAGTTCAAATGCTAATGTTCACTTCCTTGTAATTCTTAGCTTCTCCATATGTAGATTACTCCGTTATAAATATATACAAATAATGAAGTAACGGAAAAAACATATAAATATTTAAATATATCAAAAGATTAAATTGGTCTCAATGCTATTAACCATATAGTATTTATAATCATTTAAAATATAGTCTCATCACCTATAATTCAACCTGAGTATTTAATATTATATGTATTTATTTATGCTATGTGAATTACAATGTAATGTAATTATTGAGATAGTTGATAGTTAGGCTTTGAATGTCTCACCACTAAACAGTAATTTAGTTAGATAATTAGCAATATTATCAAAAAAAACTTCAATAGTTTTTATAAAATACAATTGAAAAATTATTTAATAATTAATAAAGCGAATAAACCGAATTTGCATTGTTAATATATTAAGGCTTACGGTTGTGTTTATTTATTTTAAAAAAAATTGATGCTAAATACTAACTTTAATGCATATTATGTACAATAACCATTCTTCTATCCATTTGGATACTAATATTTGATCATGCCAGCACCTATTACACTAGCTAGCACTTAGATAATTAATCCTCCAATTCAAGTTTATGATAATCTAACTTAAACAAATAATGTATCTAGTGGGTTGAACTAACAATAAGGAGTACAAAAACTAAAAAATATCTCTGAAACCGAAAGCCATCTCAATTCTGATAGTGATAATGATGAACCTAGAGATACTCCTTTTCATCCTAAATCAACTAAGTCTAATCTAACTAAGAACATTTAGAAACCAAACCTTTTGGTCAAATCTACTAATATCCAGAAGAATTATGCGAAAGCTATAGTGTCTTATGCATGTAGGTAAAGAACAATAATTTTTGAAACTCTTGGAGAAGAGAAAGGGGAAGAATTCATAAAATTGATGAGTCGTCTCAAAAATAAGCTGAGAAATATTGCACACATTACGAAGTATACTCACGCAGAAGAGTTTTTATCATTATTCAGAATTTTAGGGTATCTTTAGTGTTCATAATTTTAGAAACAATTTCATTAAAAAGGACTCAGTTAGTTATATCTATAACTCTAAGATAATGTAGAAGAGTTGTCATTTGTCCAACATGACAGTAGTTAGGAATTCTCTATTAAAGTATTGATATAATCAAAGCGATAATGAATTTTTATAGTGTTTTTTTATTTCATATAGTGAATGAATAGAATTATGATTGTGATTATAAGATTGCTTAGCAATTATTAGTAGTATTTCATTATTATATATTGAAATAAATAAATAAAAATAATGAATATAAATTAAGAGGCAGTAAAAGCACATATTTCGTAAATGCTGTCTCAGTTGAGATAGTTGAAGGAGAAGATTCAAAATTTAGAAATACCCGAATTGGGAAATCAAGCCAGTTACAATAAAAACACCGATTTAATTGAAGGTTCAAAATAACAACTGCATCATATAATTACTTAATATTTCAAAGACATCTAGAACATTTACATCTACTTAAGTCGGTTCTATCCAACCACAGCCTTAAAATGTATTGAGTTATTTGATATAATTAAAGAATATATGAAATAAGAAATTGAGAGTATTTTTGCCTAATTGTCAGAATACAAGAAGAAAATGAATGATAAACAATTTTCTTAATTTGATTACGAAGAATTTTAGGCTGCTAATTATCCTGCAAAGAAAGATGAAATCCAATAAGAATGCATGCAAATATAAACTGAGAGCTATCCAAATCATACAAGCGAATGTATGCCAAATATCAAAGTTCAAAACAGAATTACAGAAAGCCTTTACTTCGGGCTAAATTAATACGCTTCGGTCTATTGGCCAAGTAAAAAAGGAAAGGCCGAGAGTCTTTTCATTAACAAACCTAATTTCTTCATTGAAAATACTATGTAAATTATAATTTTTTATCTATTTCAGTTGCATACCATATGCCCAAGATAATAAATTATATGCCTATGATTATGCATCATAAAAGACATTCTAAACAGAGATGAACGAATAAATACCAGATCACAGTTCCTTTTTGAATTTACCTAATGGAAATTTATTCATTAGTGGAGGTGTAAATGCATAAGGATAGGTCTTAGGAGAATGCAGATATATCGATATCTCAAAAGGAACTGTAATGAAATTACCTGACATGCTTGTAAAGAGAGTTGGACATACATTGGTATACATTTAGCCAAATACATTTTGGTCAGAAGCACCAAAAGGATATATTTATGCCATTGGAGGTAGAACACATAACAATTTCAGAACAAAATTATGTGAGAGATTCAATATAGAGAATCAACAATGGGAGGAGATTGAAAAATTGAATGATGCTCGATCAAGGTCTTCATGTGCTTATTCTGAAGAACAACATGGGATATTTGTATTTTTTGGAACATCAAGCTAATAATTAAATGTTGTAAGTGCGGAGAAATATGATTTATTGTCAAAGAAATGGGAACGCTTGTTAATCCATAATCAATTGGAAGGGTTTGATGTGAGTTGGGGGAATGCAATTTGCATAAATGAAGATTAGATTCTGATTTTTGGAGGATTGAAGGACAGCTAATATTTTGAAAACAATCTATATTTCAGTAAAAAGATATTGGTTTACAACATTCAGAATGAAAAGTATTAATATTTGATGAATTTTAAAGTATTACTGTAAATGATAGTCAACTTCCAGTAGATTTGTTACCTTTGGCCACGGTGATTCATGAAAACAAAGTGTACAGTGTTGGAAAATACATGAGTTGTGTTCAATTGCCTCCTCATCAGAGTTTGGGAGAGGGAGCGTTCTTAGTTGAATTGGGGGAAGTCAATTCAATCATTTGCTTTTTTGGATGATTATAAATAATATTAATAAATAAATAGATTATGCAAGAATAATATGAATTGTATTATACTACATATAATCAGGAGAGAGAGAGGATTAGAGTAAGAGAGTTTCATTACTTTAGAAATTTTACAGTAGCTTGAAATCTGAAGAATCCAATCGATTGTTGAAGAGTTAATCTCTTAACGAATCTTTGAAGAAGGCTGAAGGATTCAAAAATGAAAAGAAGTTGCAGATTAAACAAAAGGCTCACAAATTTAATATTAAAGCTAAAATTATACAGAGAAAGAACAATTAGATGCAGGAACATCAATTTCTGGGTATTATTAAATAGAAAAATGAGTTGTTCAAGAAGGAGATTGAGCTGTAAGATATAATTTAAATTCAGAGAACATCGTCTTAATATCTTGAATGCCGAATAAACAGAGTAGATCAGATAAAATTAAATATATAAATCGATGAAACACAAAATCTATTTAGAGAGAGTTGAATAACATCAATTAGTAATAAATTAATAATAAAATAGAAAGTAGAATAGGAGCATCAGTAATTATTGGAATAGATGAATAACAAATTTTAGAAGGTCGAATAATATATTCAGATAACTAGAGAATCTTAAAAATAGAAATTTAGAAGTCTTAGTTATAAATACTTGACTTATAAACAGAAAGCAGAGAATCTAATCTTGGAAAAAACAGAAAACACCTTTTAAGAAGCCCTTGATAACATGTCGAAGAGAGAATAAATTTATGTATCCATTCTTTTTTAACTAAAAAAGGAAAAATATCTTGAGACCAAAGAAAAAGAGAGGAAAAAGATTGTGAGAAGAAACAAATTGGAATTGATCAAATTTAAAAGAAACAAGAAAAGATAAGAGTCAATCGAAAAAGCCTAAAAACAATTGTAAGAATAAGAAAGACATAGAAGAATACTCAATAACTCTACTTCAATACCAAAAATCATCATTACTGAACATGATGATTAAGGTAATAATGATGTAGAAGTCGAAGTCTATGAAGTACCATAATCTGAGGGATAAAATTAAATTTATGAAGAAAAAGTTACATCTTCAAAAAAGAATTAAAAAGAAGAATAATCTATTTTCACTAATATTAATGAATCTTCTATGCAAGTTACTTTGCCTGAAACAAAAAATATAGACTCTCCCAATTATAAGAAACCAAGGAGGGAATCAGAAAAGGAACGATAATATTAAATTTTAATGTAATTTAATTTAAATATGGACTTAGGAAATTAAGGTTGAATCTAAAACAAGAAAGAGAGAAGTTGGATAGGGAATTGAACTCATTCTTCATTAGTTAGGCAATACACTAAAATTGATATATAAATTACTTATGTGATTATTAGATAAATTCTTTTTGGATATATCTCATTGTTAATGAATAAATTTGAATTAGCCCTCCAAACTTAATAAGAATTATTAAACTATATTCTATCAACATAGTGGAAGGATGATTTGGAGAAATAACAATTAGGAGCAATATTTTAGAAAGTCTAAGTATAATTAATATCCTATTAGACCACCTGCAACATTAAATTAGAAATCGATGAATTCTTTCCTAAGGATAAGTAGGAATTATTGAAATCCTATATATACGAAAAGCAATAGCAGGTATTTGCAGTCTTAATTTTTAAGATAAGAAAAATTAATAAAAGTCTGCAGGAAACTCTTAACAAGTAGGCTCAAGTGAGGTAATCTCCAACATGTGTGATTGCTTAATTGCCTCCCAGATTCAAAAATAGCAAAGAGTCATATCTCCAATAAATGTAAATATTAGGAATTATATTGTAGTAATTATTTCAAAAACAATTTGATAGAATTGAAGAGTTGCCATTCAAAATTATGTTTGGAGGTAGAGATAAAATAATAGAGGGAGGCAATCACAAAATAAATCGGGTTATTATAAATAGCGGAAAATTTTAAATTTGAACTAAATTGTTTAGAAAGCGAATTGATGCAAAATCGACTTTATTTAAGTGAATAATTTGAGAGTATAAGAAAATTAATCGAAATTACTATTGAGGACAATTTGCTTCAAAATTTAATTAGTTATTGCTCTGCTATATCTAAAGCGAATATTCTTTTGAAGAAATAACTTATTATAATAAAACAAATATATTCATTCGACACAAAAGATTTGTAATTGACATGAATTTATTTTAGTTATTTATAGATGATGGAAATGGATAAGGAAAATAAATAAACTAGTTATTCTCAAGATACTGATGTTACAAGTTAGTAATCACCATAAAAAAATTATGATTAAAATTAGATCATCAACAAAAATCTTAGGAATCAAGAATGTTTGTGTGTAATCTTTTGATGAGGTTTTAATTGTGTATTATAAAAAACAGAAAATTGATATGATCATTTAATGTGTAATTTTAATAAAAAATGTTAAATCAAAAATGTCTTATGGCAAATTTTATACACTACATGATAGTCTCATATTCAATATATTTCTATTTGATAAGTTCCAACTTACTCAATTTGATAACTTTAATTGTTACTACTTCCATTACAATAGTATTTTTGATGCTTCAAATTTTATATAACAAGTTCGTGTTACAAGGAACTATTATATGTCTTCAAATGGATTCGGTTTGTCTGATTTTGATGAATGTTTCAAATATATCTAGAATACCCTTTTCATAGCTCATCATTTCACAACTTTTAACAAAAGACTTATTTCTTGATTTAAAGCAAACAAAAAAATCCCCTATTATTATCCTCCAATTAATGGTATCAATATTTTTGATTATTTATTCCTTTATACAAATTGAACTCGACATTGAGCACCCTTAGTTATTAATCACCTTATGTATATCATTATATTGCTGCACAATATCTCTTAAGCCTCAACAATCTTAACCTAATGTATTATTTACGGAAATAAGCAACACGAATAGAGCAGACAATTTGAAATTCAATAAGAATACCTCATAATTTGACTTAGATTAAAATTTCAATTCACCATGTCTAAGAGATGCAGCAATCAATGACTCAACTATTTTAGAAACCACTTATCACTGTTTGTAATATTTAAATGAGGGTTTGATCATTTTGGGTATTGATTCCGAGAATAATCACTTTCCATACTCAATTAAATACTCTAATAAAGCAACAAAAACTATTTTTGGAAAGGAAATGGATTCTGATATCTTAAATTTATTAGAAAATCTCACAATCTTCACTGGAAATGATCACGCAGATGGCTTATAATTTACATCTCAATGTTAAATTAGACCCTCATACAATTGTTTAAAACAAATTGAATTAAAAGACCAATTTACCTCTTAACATAAAAATTCAAATTAAGATTCCTTATAAGATTAATTACACAAATATCAATTTAAATAAGTATTGGAAATGCTTTTTAAATAATCTAATTGTGAGTTATTAATCGTTTAAGCACATTTGCAATAACGATTTTCAACTCAAACAAATCAACCATAATAAACTTCCTAAACATTTATTAATACTGAGAATTTCTAATTGCTTGAATTGACATTGAATCTTAGCAAGAACAATATCATCATAATTTGTAGAGATGTTACTCATAGATAAAAAATAAGATATCTAAGAGAATATGATAAATAAAAGTCTAAGATGCTAGCATTTGTTAGTCATGAATACAGATCACCATTAAATTGTATAATTTAAATGCTTGAATGTGTAATTAATGATCAAGTAATTCAAGATAATCAAGATTTGTCTGAGTAATTATAAGTGGCATTAGACAATTCAAGTTACATTCTTAATTTATCCAATGATTTATTGGATTTGGCATAAATTAAAAATGGCAAATTTAGAATTGTCAAAGTACCTTTTAATTTAGAAACATTGATTTATGAATGTATGAAAATGTTTGAATTGAAGGCTAAATTAAAAAAAGTTTAATTAAAATTTAATCTTGGTAGTCAAATACCTAAAGTTGTATTTTCTGATAGAAGTAGAATAAAATAAATAATTATTAATTTGCTAAGTAATGCATTCAAATTTACTTAAAATGGGTAGATTGTCATCAATGTTCAGAAGATAAATTTAAATATTTTAAGAATAGGAGTTATGGATGAAGGTATTGGAATCTCGGATGAAGATTAAATGTAATTGTTTAAAGCATTTTCAAAAGTGAATTCAGAAGAAAGCAAGAAATTAAACCAATAAGGAGTAGGCTTAGGTTTAGTGATAAGTAACCAAATTGCATAAACCATAGGTTCGACTGGATTGAATCTCGAATCTAGTAACAAAGAAGATAATCACTATTCAAATTTTTATTTTGATCTACCTTTAGAGTAGCCATTAAGAAAGAAGGTCTCTAGTTTCAAGATACCTGAAATTTCAATATAAGTTTAAGAAGTAGAGGAAATAGCAAGTTTTAAATAGATACATACTCATATCAAGGAGGATTGGTCAACATAATAAATATGTTAACATTATTTAATAGTTGATGATGATTGTTTTAACATTTTTGCAATGAAGAGGTTGTTTTAATAATTACAAAAGAACAATAAATATTTATTTTAGAATGGATTTGATGTTGATTCAGCTTTGTCAGGTTAGGAATGTATTGAGAAAATAAAAAATAAAAAATGCAGTAATTCTTGCTAAGGATACAAAATAGTATTTATGGATATAGAGATGCCATTAATGAATGGTTAAGAAGCATCATAGAAAATTCTAAGCATCTATCCTAATTATATAATTGTTGGATGTAGTGGATATTCAGATCAATAGGAATATGAAAAATGCATAAGAAGTGGAATGTCTGACTTTTTAGTTAAACCTATAAATGAAATTTAATTAATTTAGATAATTAGAAAGTTTCATTGATTTGATTAGTATTATTATTTTGAACGACTTATTGTTACTATAGAATTGTTAATTATTGTTTTAATAATGTTTATTAATAGATTTTACATAGTTATTTCATGTTTATATATGAAACTACATTAGTAGAATATGTTAAGTATTCTTTAAAGAGTCATTCAAATTAACTTTTTATCTCTTTTAATTTAAAATTTAGAATTGTGTAATAAACATTTTTCATAATAGTGTTATAATTTAAATTTATATATAATGTTTTATGCTGGCATTGATAAAAACAAAAATGAATTTTAAATCAAGAATGCTCAACAAGAATAACAAGGAACTCCTGTTTAATCTAATAGAAAAGCATAAGCTTCTGAGTAATCTAAGCCTGTAAGTGCAAAACCACCAAAAGTGCTAAAGGATGCGGGTTCAAAAGCAATTAATTATCCATAGATTACTCATGATATCTTAGACTAATAAACTGCGAATTTTATTTTAAAGGATCTTCCAATTGGTATTGAAATATAATAATAAAATTCAAATAGGATAACCATCGCAATAATTTGATGCTGTTGAGGCTTTATTAAATCAACATAAAATACAAAATTAAAGTCCAATTAGGAGCAGTTAAAAGGATAGTGGAAATTCAAAGGATTTAAATAGTGCAATGGCAAGAAGATTGGCAGATGTAGAAAAATTAGCATAAAATCAAAAATTAGAATTGAAGGAGAAATACCACATAATTGAGTAATTGAGAGAGAAAGTATAGGAATTAACAGAAATTAATAGAAAGTTGGGAAGCAGGGATAAATAGGCATATATGAATGAGATTAATAATTTAAAAGAGGAAAATCAGAAGTAATAAAAGAAGATAGAGGATATGGAGAAGTTCTTATAGAAGTACGGAGTAAAGTGGGTTGGTGATAAGATAAGTGATGAAGATGATAAAAGAATGAAATAGATGGCAGCAGACATGAAATAAATGAAACCTTTATTTAATTACCATCTACCCAAGGAGATCTCAATAGATGTAATAAAAAGAAGAATTGAGGAGTTGAATTATATAATGGAGAAGGATGGAGCTAATTAAATAGTTAAGAATGCCAATGGGATGCATCAATTTTAGAAGATGGAACCATTACCTATTGGCTTTTATAAAAATGGTATTGCTATGAAGGGACATAAGTTTTTCAGTTATGGTTCAAATGATGCTTATTAAATATTGGCAGATATTCTAGAAGGTTATTTTCCATATTAATTGAAGTAAGTTAATATAAATAATAGATAATAATTTCCAAATGGGACACCTTTGAAATTAATTGACAAAACCGAAGAAATTTATGAGGCTAAGGCTGATGACAAAAAGTAATGTGGGTATGAAGACTTGGCAGAGAAATAATTGAAACCAATGAAAAAGGAGTAGTTTTTAGAAGTATGTAAATATATGTATATTAAAGTAATTGCCTGAATGTGTGATTAAGAATGGAAAGATAATTCCAATTAGGTCAGATATTGAAAAAAGACTTTCAGGATAACCAAATTTAAATGCTACATAATAATTGAGATCAGCTGGCTGTAGATAAGATCCAATTGACGGAAATTGGATAGTAGACACAGAAGCTTAAAGAAGAGTAGATAATGGGGAAGATTTGGAGGATGTTTGTACTTTGAAATTCAGAACAGAAACAGGAAAATATAGTTTGATAGCTTTGATGTTTGGTAATCAGAGGATTTGTGATATGTATGAAATGGTATCAGGATTGAAAGAGTATTAAGATAGAAACATTCAAATTATATTGAACTTCCCTAGAACAGTATTTTAGAAAGATGATTAAACAACTTTAGAAGAGGCAGGATTGATGCCCAGTGCATAATTATTTTTTAATTTAATATGATTATTGATTTGATTTTGATGTTTATCAAATATCTTATTCGTTATTAATAAATGATGGCTACCCAGTACCTGCTAACAATCTCTACCATGAGATGTTTGATGGCTAAATATAAAAGATATTCATTACTGTAATTCTATTGGCATAATTTCCAGAATTCATTTCATTCAATGGAATCATACATGTCTTATTGCTGACATGACCAACTGCAAATCCAGTGAAGCCAGCCATAGAAGCATGAATTGCATTTTAGGCTAATTGACTGCATAATTTAGAATCTAATGAATTGGCTTTACCAGCTCTGACCATATATTAAGGATCAATATATTTGACTTCAGCATTTAAGCCTTTTTCTCTGGTGAACTCTAAAATAGCATTCTTCAAGAATAATCCGATGTCTCCTTACTTGACATTTCCAGAAGCATCTCTACCTTTGTCATTGATCTTGCAATCTCTCAAAGAAGCAGCAGCGCCTTCAGCTACTACTATTACACATGTTCCTTTATGTTGAAGTCTCTAATACACATATTGTAACAATCCTTTTTCTCCATAGACATCAAATTCAAATTCAGGAACCAAACATATATTTACACTTCTAAAAGCTAAAGAGGCATTCAATGCCAAAAATCCTGTATGTGAACCCCACAGTCTCACTATTCCAACTGAATATTTTTTAGAATGAGTTTCTTAATAAGCTGCTTTTAAAGGATTCTAAGCTTCCTTTTAAATGATTAAATAATAATCTTACTTCAATAGCAGTTTCAAATCCAAATGATTTGTCTATGATTGGAATCTCATTTTCAATACTTTTAGGTATAACCACAATGCTAATTTTGAGATTTCTGCTTTTTATGATTTCATGCAATTATTCTGCACTCTTCAAACAACCCAATCCACCAATGAGATATACTTAATTAATTCCATTTTTAGCTAATTCATCTACTATCATTTCGCCATCAAATTTAGATCTGGCTGTTCCCAAATAGCAACCTCCTTAATGATGAATAGTCTTCACTATTTTTGGATCTAATTTTATCCAATCATTATTGTAGATTCCGTTGTAACCGTATTTGGCACCAAATATGTTCTATACTTTGTAATTGTAAAACAAACACATTGTTAATTCTCTGATTATGACATTCAATCCAGGTAGCAATCCACCTACGACTACAATGCCTGCTTTGACTTCATCTGGACTAAATAATAGGTGTTTTCTTGGACCAGATCTAAGCCACCTCTTTGTTCTTGATAATAAATCATTTGGTCCAAAGTTAGGGTGTTCTAAATTAATGAGATAATTTTACAAAGGATATAGCAATCATGATTGACAAAAGCAGTCTCAGGGAGAAAACCTTCACCACCAAACACACTTCTATAATTCGAATTTCCAAGCATGGGATTTACATTCAATGGCAATACTTAAAGTTTGAGATCATAAGCAAGATTAGAAACTCTTTCAATCTCACAAGTAATTTCTTCTAAATTTTTTAATTCTTTGACTAATTCATTTTCATTTGCATTTTTTGCCATCAACTTGTTAATAGCATGTTTTTTGATGGGTCTTTTAGGAGATGAAGGAGCAGATGCAGTTGCAGACATATTCTCTTCAAAAACATGTTGAGCAGTTTCAGAGGACCCTTTTCTCAAAGCATTAAAGGCAGCAGCCCCGATTGTACCCAAGGCTAATGAGGCTAATAAATACAAGGGATTGATGGTTTGGGCAAGATTTTTTGATTCCATTAATTAATAAATGTAGTCGATTTCATCTGAGGTACTAAAAGCAGGAGTAACTAAATCTAACATCCGTTCCAATGTCACAGCTAAGAGGTAGAGTCGATCTGTATAAGTAGACCCAATCAACTGGGGGGAGGCAGAACATAATTGGGTCCTCCATAGACTGGGAAGGATACTCAATAATCATCATAAGATAATGTGATAGTGAAGTATAAAGATAGTGTAGTAACACCAAAAGAGTAAGATAGTGATATGAAAATAGATTGATTACTAAGAGATTCCTGTAATTGGCTGAACAGTTGAATAGAGAGGAAGAATAGAAACTAAAATAATTACAGAAACCAGCTGATACAAAAGTGAGTGCGAGTGTTATGGATAGCAATATGAAATCATTCCATCAGAGTGCAGTACTATTAATAAAGTATAACAGGATAAATCATCGAATTCGGATTTGAAAGTTTCATCTTCCAACAATCCAGAGAGGAGCAGTTTTATGGAATCCAAATAGTCAGACACATACTCTGATTCAGATTCTAAAAGAGATCAATCTGAATAACAAGAGAAGAAACCCAAATAGAAGAAAGGTTTGAAAGAGGAGGATTTGGAAGAGAACATCCCTATTAATCTAAGTGAAACTCCAACTCAATGTTTAATGTTTATGTAAATTCTTGGTTATTATATGTAGACCATCATCATTTGTGAATAGTGAGTAGGGTAAGAAAACTGGTTAGATTCAGAGAACCCAAAAGTATGAGTAATTCATCATTGAGAAAATTGGAAGTGACAATTTTACAAAGAGGTTTGCTTAAACTTTCAATTACATACAAAAACATAAGATTCAGTAATGTAACAAAATTGAGAAGAATGACACAGGAGCATTTACAGCTGTTTGGGATTTGTATGATGCTTCAATAACTGACTAATTGAATGAATTCGAAATATTGCAAGAAGAGATCAAGTAAAGCATTGAAAATGAGTATAAATAATTGAACAAGAACCCCTATTTCTTATTGCCTACAGAATTAGAAGCAATTAAAATACATGCTGAAAGACCTGTTTTAGGCAAAGAAACATAGGAGAAATCGTAAAGTAAAACCAGAAGTGGAATTGCAACCAATACTAAATAATAACCCATCAATAATTTGAGTGGGGGATTGACTGGACAAGGTGGAGACGAGAGAATACAAGACAGTTCATCTAGTCATACCGGTACTAAAGGTGTCACTAATATGGGATCTTAATAAGTGAATATCCAATAACAAGTTACTAAGAGTCATGGGAAGACAAGCAATCCTTTACCTGAATAATAATAGAAATAATATGAATAAAAATAGGATGAATAGGATATTAAGGAGGAAGAATACATGAAATAATATGTCTAAAAAACAAATTCTCAAATTAGTGAACAAGAACAGATTATTTATTAGAGTCAATAAGTGCAAACTAGTTTGAAATATGTGGAAAGAATTCTTAATTAGAATCTATATCATAAATAATACATTCAATATAGAAACTATCCGGAAGTCAAATTTGAGAAGATGACCTTGAATGAAGATCCTAAATAGAGAGGAGGAGCATTCAAAAGGAATTTCCAAAATAAATTAGAGGATGAGGAAGTAGTCGAAAAGAAACAATAAGATCCCATTACATAATTATTTTCGTATAAGTGCTAATTAAGTGAACAATGCAAAGTAACTAGTGCTGATTGGAATCCAGTCAATAAAGATTTATTGGCTGTTTCATATGGCAATAGAGAAACCTCGGATGGACACATTATGTTTTGGACTTTAAAGAATCCCACGTATCCTGAGCGTATCATAACTTATCCATCCAAGTTTAATTGTTGTAAATTCTCAGAAAGCTAACCCAATCTCATTGCTGCTGGAACTGTTGATGGTATTGTAGCTGTATGGGATATCAGAAGAAAGTCTAATAAACCTATTACTGAGAATAAAGAGATGGCTGGAAAACATAGTGATTCTGTTTGGGAAGTCTAATGGGTTGGAAAAGGAGCTAAAGGAACAGATAAGGGAGAATCACTTGTCAGTATTAGTAGTGATAGTAGAATTGTTGAATGGTCAATGAAGAAGGGATTGGAATATACTAATTTAATGAATCTCAAAAGAGTTGTTCAATCATCTTAGAAAGAAAACTTATAGGAAGGAGTCAATTTTAGAATGTCAGCTGGATTTTCCTTTGATTTCTTATAAAGAGAATCAGCCATGTATTTAGCTGCCACTGAAGATGGTACTGTTCATAGATGCTCAAAATCTTATACAGAATAATATTTAGATAATTATTTTGGTCATTCTGGACCTGTTTATAAGGTTAGATGTAATCCTTTCTTTGGTGATATCTTCTTAACTTGTAGTGCAGATTGGTCATGCAAATTATGGAACTGGACTGAGGAATTACCGAAGGCTAATTTCCAAGTATTTATAATTTGAGTTATTAAGCAATAAAACTTGTAAGATGAAGTGTTAGACTTTGAATGGTCTCCTCACACTTCAGTATTATTCGCATCAGTTTGCAAGGATGGTAGATTGGAATTATGGGACTTAACCAAGAATAACATGCTAGACCCATACTTTACCATAATGCCCTAGGATTAATAAATTTGGCCAGCCAAAACTATGGTCAGATTTGCTCACAATAGTCCAGTGCTTATTACTGGCGATGCTAGAGGTGATATTAATGCTTATAGATTATATGGTAATACGCATTAGTTATGTGTTAGGCTATGAAGATAATGATCCATTATAAGAGGAAGAGAAATTAAGAAAACTGTTATATCCCAGTGGATATTCAAAGGGATAAAAGGAATAAAAGGATTGAATGATTGAATGAATTTATATATATAAATCAGTGTAACTTCACGTGTATACTGGACTTCACATACTTCTTCCGGTTTAGCAATTAGTCTATTTTGATATTCATTTAACCTGATTGCAATATGCTTTATAATCTAACTGGAGATCTAGCTGATACACTTAAAGATTAGTTGGGTGGAAAATCATCTTGAATTTTGATAGATTTGAATTATTTCTATTGTCCAAGATGTATTCTGTGTTCGGTTAGGAAATTGTCATATAATTATGGCAATTATACATGATCAGTAGTATTAGACTTCTTGTGTTGTGATGATGATTTCTTATTCATTCTGTCTCTCCCTAGGATCTGAAATAAAGTGACTTTTCTATTTTTATTGAAATTCATTTTAAATCATTATTTTAAGAAATGCGTCCAATTAAATTAGGATTACGACTAATTTTCCTTCTCTTGTTGAATTGGACATTACTAATATTCTACTTTGCTTACATTACATAAGATTAAGATTTCAGTATAAATGAGACTAAACTATTCATAAATAGCATCTTTGAACATCACATATAAGAATAAAACACACAAGATTAGAGTTAAATTGAAGTCTAAATTGAAATGGGTGGAGAAGAGGAATTCGAATTTGTAGGTGAGGATGAAAGAGAAATTTAATTTATTGATGATCCAAAAGGAGATCTCATCGCTGTAGGAGATGATGATCTAGACACTAATTATGATTATACAATATAAGCCATAAAAGACATCAACCCTATTAAATAAAGCATTCTGGCTACCAATGAACCTATTCGTTAATAAACTTAGCTCAATATCCTTAAGGATAATCATTATTGTGAATTGAATAATCTCTACATTATTACTCATCATCAATTACCAATCAATATCATAACGGATTATCCAAATGATAATGTTATCACATTTGCCTTAGATGCTGCAGGTTAAGATCTACTACCGGATGTAATAATAGAAAGTAATAAATTATATCATCTTCCATTCAATGCCACCATATTCTTTATGGAGAACCTTAATTTTCATAAGTATTTTGAAATCGGCTCTTAATTTCTATGCAATTTCCAAGCCTACAATCACATCCCTGGAATAGAAGTATTATTCAAAAAATCAACTCTTTATTAAATTCTTCAGAAAACAGAAGTTCCTATACCAGAAACATTTATCATGAATAGTACATCTTCATTTCCTATATTTAGATATTACATAATGTTAATAATATTTTAAGCAATACAAGAATCTGGACGAATCGGAATATTTAATTAAGAATCATATTAAACGATAAGTTTAGTAATAGAGTCTTGATCACAAATACATCAGAAGGAAATATCAGGATGGCAAAAATTGTGGGATTGTGATAGATGATCTTATCATATAAAAGAAGGTTGAAAATAGACAAAGGAGATTCTTTGCAATGATTTTGATTAGTTTTTTAGATCCATTCTAATATCAGATTTTCGATGGCTTCTATTATAAGATATAGAAAGTAAATATGTTCACAATTAGGGTGTTCCTGTAGATCATCAAAGATATAATGAGACAATTAGCAAAATGATCACCGATCAAATTGAACAATTTATTCACAATATTCCAATCCTCAAGGATAACAGATTCTTCTCACTTCTGAGAATGGAGTTTATCGAAGCAGATTAAATCTATCTTATGTCTATAAGTATCATTTAAATTAGCACATAGCTCCAAATATTGACAAAGATCCATAGATCAAAGATTACATGACAAGTCTTATAGTTTCTACGTTGTAATTAATTAACTTCCAATAAATCCAAAGAATATCCCTGTATCAGATTGAAAATCATTATCAATATTGAATATAAGTTAACAGATTATTTAAATTAAACAAAAATGGATAAATTACCAATTGGTTATATCAAAGGCAAGGGAAATGTATACATTCATTCTTACACTCATCTAGCCTTTAGATAAGAAGGTGCCCAGAAATAAAAAATATGATTATGTCAAACAAACCCTAAACACTGGACCAACTGTTCGGGATATTGAAGTTATCAGCAATGCAACAATAGCAAAAAAGAGATCTGAGATATTCAAAAGAATTAAATGTTCCACTTTGCTCAAACTGATTAGTGTAATAATTGCTTAATTTCTAGGAAGAACCTGCACAAGAATCAATACATAATATCATCGATCAATAAGAATAAGATCAATTGAAATAATTTGATGCTTAAAGTCAATACAGTTAGAAAACAAGATTCACTGAAGTCTCACAGGTTTCAGCAATTACTTATGCCACTGAATAACTGGGTCTCACCGATTAATCTGAATTTCTTCTCATTGATTTAAGAGATCAAGACGAATTCTAAATGTATCACATTAAAGAGGCTGTCAATTTTCCTGCTCCTTTACTTCGACAGGATAAGTTAACTCAATAAATGTTTCGATTTGTAAGTGTCTTATGATTTATCATTTCTTAGAAAAATCAAGTAGGCAAATTAATCATCATTTATCATTTTGATGAAAAAAATGGCATACCATCAGCAACACTCTTTGCAGAAAAAGGCTTTGAGAATGTTTACCTTCTTAGTGGAGGAATAGAAAAGTTTCTCTAAAATTATCCAGAAGCAGTTATCGGAACTAAAGTACCCTCATTTCCAAAACCGGAATGTAAATATTAATAAATATATGTAGAGAACCAGAACAAAATTATAAAGAGATCAAATTATAAAGAAGGTGAATCTTAGATAAATAAATCAGAAAAAGCTATTAGTGACACGAAATCATAAATTAGTTAAAAATCTAAAATTACTAGATAATCAAGTGCTTAAAGACAGCAATAATAATAATAGTAGTAGCATTCATAATTCATAGATAAATGATTTTATAAATAAATTAATTATGTTGTAATTATAGGAATCAAATTCTTATTCAGAGATCAAGCTTCCCTCTATTGATTTACATACTACTCACAGACTTCCTATTAAAATGAACCCTAGTTATAGATTAAAATACACTAATCCAATAAGAGTGCAATACTTAAGATTTTTAGATCGGAGAAGTTTGGATTAAAAATTGAATGAGCCATTTTGTTTAGAAAGATTTGCTAAAATTAACAATTACTCTTATGAAACCAGCCATGAATAGTAAGGCAATCTATTGTAACAATTTAAGTGAATTGAAATGCAGAAAACCAAAGAAAAAGACTTAACCTAAAGAGAAAGAAGTATATTAAAAGCCAACTCTAAGGTATTTTAATCCAGAAGACTCAGTAATCCGTTAAGACGAAATGGATTTTATATTGAATCCAAAGCCTAATAAATCTGTAACGTCAAATAGCAAAGTCTATATTTCTGAATGAATTTGATGATTAATGATTATATTGATTATAATATATTCATTAAATTTAAAGTTATTGTTAACTCTTAACAAGCCAATTATTTTCACTAAATATTTTAAATCTTTAAATCACAAATACTATAGGATATATTGTTGTATCTTAATATGAGTACAATATAATTAATTGGATTTATTGAATTGATTTAATTTCAATTTACTTTTAATAATCCAAGAATTCTAGAAGATTAATTAGAAATGTAAATACCTGTTTAATAATTTGATAGTTAAGTTAACTTTCTCGAGATTAATTTTCTTAAATAATTTTTGGTATAATGATTGGGAGGGATTGCTTAATTAAAAGGTTTAAGACATGGAGAATAAGAACATAAATACTGGTTACTCAATTGATCACGNCTTCGACAGGATAAGTTAACTCAATAAATGTTTCGATTTGTAAGTGTCTTATGATTTATCATTTCTTAGAAAAATCAAGTAGGCAAATTAATCATCATTTATCATTTTGATGAAAAAAATGGCATACCATCAGCAACACTCTTTGCAGAAAAAGGCTTTGAGAATGTTTACCTTCTTAGTGGAGGAATAGAAAAGTTTCTCTAAAATTATCCAGAAGCAGTTATCGGAACTAAAGTACCCTCATTTCCAAAACCGGAATGTAAATATTAATAAATATATGTAGAGAACCAGAACAAAATTATAAAGAGATCAAATTATAAAGAAGGTGAATCTTAGATAAATAAATCAGAAAAAGCTATTAGTGACACGAAATCATAAATTAGTTAAAAATCTAAAATTACTAGATAATCAAGTGCTTAAAGACAGCAATAATAATAATAGTAGTAGCATTCATAATTCATAGATAAATGATTTTATAAATAAATTAATTATGTTGTAATTATAGGAATCAAATTCTTATTCAGAGATCAAGCTTCCCTCTATTGATTTACATACTACTCACAGACTTCCTATTAAAATGAACCCTAGTTATAGATTAAAATACACTAATCCAATAAGAGTGCAATACTTAAGATTTTTAGATCGGAGAAGTTTGGATTAAAAATTGAATGAGCCATTTTGTTTAGAAAGATTTGCTAAAATTAACAATTACTCTTATGAAACCAGCCATGAATAGTAAGGCAATCTATTGTAACAATTTAAGTGAATTGAAATGCAGAAAACCAAAGAAAAAGACTTAACCTAAAGAGAAAGAAGTATATTAAAAGCCAACTCTAAGGTATTTTAATCCAGAAGACTCAGTAATCCGTTAAGACGAAATGGATTTTATATTGAATCCAAAGCCTAATAAATCTGTAACGTCAAATAGCAAAGTCTATATTTCTGAATGAATTTGATGATTAATGATTATATTGATTATAATATATTCATTAAATTTAAAGTTATTGTTAACTCTTAACAAGCCAATTATTTTCACTAAATATTTTAAATCTTTAAATCACAAATACTATAGGATATATTGTTGTATCTTAATATGAGTACAATATAATTAATTGGATTTATTGAATTGATTTAATTTCAATTTACTTTTAATAATCCAAGAATTCTAGAAGATTAATTAGAAATGTAAATACCTGTTTAATAATTTGATAGTTAAGTTAACTTTCTCGAGATTAATTTTCTTAAATAATTTTTGGTATAATGATTGGGAGGGATTGCTTAATTAAAAGGTTTAAGACATGGAGAATAAGAACATAAATACTGGTTACTCAATTGATCACGATGATTGTGTCTGTTACAATCTTGGGATTATGTTTATTTCTAAACTTTGAGGGGATATTTTAGGCCTTGTCGAATGATGCAGAGAAGAAATTCATTATGAATTTTATTTATCGATAAACTAACTCATAATTAAATGCCTATACAAGGAATCTCGAAAACAGAATTAGATAGGGTATTTATGCAATAAATGATATCAACCTCTTGAATTAATAAATTTACAATACAAGCATGACTTTTGTATAGAATTCTGACAGATGTCTCTAAGAATCATATCTTAATGGAAGTTTTGTATTAAAATGCTAATATTGTTATGGTGTTTTTGATTGTTCAAATCAAATTCACGCTCCAGAATAATACAGTTAAGAATTTCTTTAACTTTCTAATTTATTAACATCATTAATCCCTATGCAAATTTAATTAGACATGTATTTCACTTCAATCTCAAAAGATTGCTACTTTTCAACATATCCTGGTCAACTCTTTGGAGATTATGTGCCATCCTCAAGAAGTTGGTTTCAAAATCATATGGCCAATGTAAACAAATCTGAATATATAATATCAGAACCTTATTCTAATTATTTTGGAGGTGTCTACATATCTGGTACGACTAACTTGTACAATGGGGCAAATAAGGAGAGAATAGGGATTGTTGTGGTGGATCTAAATTTCTCAGATATTCATCAATTCATGGAAGATGATCAATAGATGTTGGCTATGGATTCAAATGGAAGAATTTTGATAAGTAAGTTGTACACCATCAACACATCAGAAGTTTATTACTTATACAATCAAAGTATTTTCGGTTTCGATTAATCAGATGTTAATTTAATACTAAACAATAATAGTGAAGAGAAAGTATAAGCATGCGAAATTTAAATACCATAGACAATTTGCATTGAAAATAAAAACACTGGAGTATTGTGGTATTTCAGAGTAAAGAGAATGACTGGAGATTATTATGTTCTCTCAATGTTTAATTAATCAGTCTACTCGAACTATTTTTAAACTTTGAGGACAACACTTTCGAAAATCTACACAGAAATAGTTACAGAATTTGTATTGGGTATACTTTCAATAATATTGTCTTGTTTTTGTATATACATAGGTTGTTTTGTTATACTCTAAAAACCAATAGATAAGTTGATAAATAGTTTCAATAAATATTTGCTATATGGTAAATAATTAAGTTATCTTATGTTAAAAATCGATCATCATGATTAGTTAGATAAACTAAGTTAGGCCTTTATAAGAATTATGACAAGGTCGATGTCAAATAAGGATAACAGAAAGAGGACTGTAGACAAATACATGAGTGAATCTAAATATCCTATCAATTTTTATGTAAATTCCAAAATAATGAATGCACAAACTAAATTACTTCTTTATGTAAATTTTTAAATATGATCTTAAAGAACTTAGAAATGAGTTCATCAAGAAACAAATTCATTGATAAATTCTTTCAGCGATATAGACAGGAGAATTCTTACCAAAAATCATTTTGATTAAAGTACTTTTAATTCTCTAATTCAAATATTTATTACAATCTTTATTTTTATATTATTCTTGGCAAAAAGATACAATATTAATTTATAATGATATCGCTAATTTACATAAAGAAATTAGCCGTTTTAAATTCTTATATGCATTTATAATGTCTAAGTATCTTTTTGATTCCTATGACAATTTTTGAATACAGAACTCAAATAGAACATAATTAATTTTTTGTGGTTTTGGATACTATTTCTTATAATTTAAAATAAATATCTACTCTTTTAATAAACATCTGCAACAGAATTGATATTCAAAATTCATTCACTTATTTGTAAATACATATGAAATTATCAATAAAATTGTAATGAGTTTGTAAATAAATCTTAGACTTCCTATAGATAAAAGTATAAGAGTTGTTCTTAAAGATTTAAAGTAATATTATTAGATTTATAATATGAATTGTTAATTAAAAATAAAAATTTTATGAAATCCGTTTTTTAAATTGATTATTTATATTGGAAATGAGGTGGATTATGATCATTAATAATAAAAATGAAATTGATTGCAACATTATTAGTTGTGTTAGTTTGCGTCAGTGCTGCTCCAAGAAATCCATTTGACTACTCAAAGAAGAGATCTTTGACAGCAGTCATGGCTGAAGTTGAAGCAAAATTGAACAACAAGTCACCACTTGATGCCATCTTGAATGTCTTGAGAGATTTCAGAGATGCAGTCAACACTGAATAAGTCAATCATGATGAAATCTATAACACATAATAAGCTGAATGTGCTTCTGAAAATGAATTCAGATCCAGATAAGTCTAAGATGCTCAAACAGTCTTGAGAGATTCCACTGCTGCCTTGAACGTCTGCAACACATCCAAGATCAGAACAACCAACGTCCAAGAAGTCAACTAATAATAATACTTCTCAGCTTAAGAACACTTGACCTCAGTCTTGACTGCTGCCGAAACAGAAGCCGGATATTTCAAGAGAAGAGGAAGAGATTATGAAGACGCTCTCCACGCTATTGATGAAGCCTAAGATATCTTAGCCACCATCTACAGTGGATCAGGATCATTCGCTGAAATCAGCAGAGTTTCAAAGAGCATGCTCTAAACCGCCTTCAACATCAAGGAAACAGCCAAATTCGCCCCAATCTTCTATGCCTTTGCTTAATTGGCTGCCTAAGAAGGATAACTCGACGAATCAGCTCTTGAAAGAGTTGCCTAACTTTTGGACACCTTGAGATCCAACATCCAAGAAGCATACAACGATTACTCAGCCTCAAATGCTGCCTCCGTTGCTGCCTTCAACGACTAAAAGGAAAGATTAGGATAAACCATTGCCAGACTTGAAGCCTAAAACGAAAGACTCTAAAACAAGTTAACCAACTTAGTTTAATGCATTGGAACTCAATCAGCCATTGCTTAAACCGCCTCAGGCAAACTCTAAAGAAACTAATAACTTTGGGACTAAGCCTAAACCTTATGCTCAACCTTTGCCAATGAATACAACTATGCCACCTAAGCCAGAAGAAACGAACTCTAATTGGTTGCTCAATTGGAAGAGATGGTTGCTGAAAGATTCGACTAAGTTGAAGATGAAAATCACGAAAGAAACCAAAGACTAGCTTCATCAGTTGGATTTTGATTTTATCAAACATAAATATTTTAAACAAAATATTTCTTATTGCTTTTTTCTAATCCGAATACTTTGTAGAGACTTTGTTACTAGAATATCAATTATTTAGATCATATTTAAGAGATTATTAATATTGATAATTCTAAGCTCATCGAAACCAAGTTTAATTTAATCAAAAAGAACTACTTAATTATATCAAATGAGCTGTTTTCGTCAGTATTAATCAAGTAATATTCCAAAATATTAAAAATAATTAATATCACATTAATACAAATGCAATGCAATACAATACTATAATTTAATAATTATTATTCATCCGCCTAATAAGAAATTGGCTGCTTGTTCTTCATCATATCCGAATCTTAATAATGCTTCCTATGAAATTAGAATAGTGAATTACTTTGACTTTCTATTCATCCAAACCTAATGCAACGAGATTTTCTATTTTTTCATTTTGTTTATTTTTTGATGCATAATTTAATGTCCATTCTCTGACTTAATGCGATTAATAAATACTTTGCTGTTTTTATAAATAAATCTCTATTTGTCTTGTATTGATTGGCAACTACAGCATCCTATGGAGAATCTATTTATGATATTACTATATGTACCTGGCTATGGATCGCATAATAAGGCTTGTAATGACAATAAGGCTGTGCGAATTGATAAGGCAGGTGACCATTCATCCTTCAAAATATCAAGACAGATGGCACCAGTTTATCTTAATATAGGTTTAAAATACGATGAGATATTGGGATGCCAGATGCGTGTATCAAACTTCATTTTGGGTGGTTTGTAAGGATAATCAGCAGTTAGTACAATATCAATTTAGAAATAGCCACCTTCATAGGGAGTGTCTGGTGATCCATTGATGAATCCCTTCCAATGTGTGATGTTGTTGTCGACAACCAAGATAGAAATCCCATTATCTTCACTCTTTTTAAAATAAGCATATCATATACTTTCTTCTATCTTTATTCGAAATCCTATATTTCTTTTGTGATTCTATTCTTCTGAACTTATTACATTAAATATTATTTTATATATTTGATTCAAGCATAATAATTTAAGCTACTTTTCTTTTTAGCTTGTACAACAGCTATTCCTTCGACAAAGTCTTCATGAATCAAGAATGTTCCACCTCTATTCAAGGCAATCATACCTGCTTCCACACTTATATTATATTAACTAATAATCATACCAAACAGCTTTCAACTACGCACCATTAAATTCATCAGTACTTCTAGCAATTTCGACATAATTAACAGTCTCTTTAGCAACTGACATTTTTCTTGAATGAATTTTCAGAATTTAAGCTCTGGCTTCTTCATTTGGTAATGGGAATTCAATTTTTCTATCCAATCTACCAGATCTCAATAATGCTGGATCCAAGATATCTGGTCTATTGGTGGCTGCAATGACCTATTAAAATAATAATTATAAATACTTTGATTCTATCATCAGGACTGAATCCATCAAGCTGATTCAATAATTCGAGCATAGTTCTTTAAACTTCTCTATCTCCATTCTTATCACTATCATATCTTTTAGTTCCAATAGCATCTAATTCATCGATGAAAATAATGGCAGGTGCCTTTTCTTAAGCCAATTGAAATGCATCTCTAACCATTTTAGCTCCATCCCCAATAAACATTTAAACTAATTAAGGACCTGCTAACTTTAAGAATGTCGCTTTGGTTTGAGCAGCACATGCTCTAGCCATCATAGTTTTACCAGTTCCAGGTGGTCCATGCATCAATACTCCTTTTGGTGGTCTAATTAATTATGATAATATTATTTACCTAATACCAATATTTTCAAATCTCTCTTTATGTACAATTGGCAAAACTATGGCTTCTCTTAATTCTTCAATTTGTTTATCCAATCCACCAATATCTGTATAATCTTCTTATGGTTTTTCATCCACTTCCATTGTTTGGACTGGGATAATGAGTTTTAAATACCTCTTGCATCATATTCAGTCGGTAATTTCTCATATAACATATATCCATCCTTATTAACTCCAATCAATTCTGCAGGTTTCAATTAAGATGCATTTAATAAACCTGTGACTGGCAAAAAGATGGTCTGTCTGGTTGTAGTCTTAATGACAACGCCTTTCCCAGAAATAGTAGCATAATCATCTGTCACGGATTAATCTTATTAATCCTTATCTATTGCTTCAATGTCTAATATTTCCACTACATTTGAAACTAAATAGGGGAGTGTTGTCATATTGCCACTTCAAATATAAATGATTGTATACACTCTCTTTTTAGTGCTATCCAATTAATCTTCATATTGCTTTTTATAATTAATCTCTCTTGATTGCATGATTTTCAATTCATTAAGTCTCTTATTCAACTTATTGATCTCCTCATGCAATTATTAGTCTGTCAACGCAGCAGCTTATGCTTTATAGTCTGCATCTGTTTTTGGAGTGGGTTTCTCTGTTTACATATTAAATTTAAATTAATATTATACTGATATATACTCAAGAGAAAGTAAAAATTGCTCTTCAAAATTACTCGAAAGTATTTCTTTTGCCATGTACATATTTATAAACTTATCCACACTCAATACTTAGTTATAATTGAAGGATTACTATAGATATTGTTAAAATTATCTTTGACTTATCTATGTCGATAAATATCAGACTTGTATTTTGATAATATATTCTATTTTACAAGATTATTACTAATGTTATACAGTAATAATTTGATAGAGATTATTCATCTTATTTGAATTATAATATAAGTATAAAATCATTGATTACAATGTTAATACAATTACAAATAATATATAGTCCATCAATCAAACTGCAATAGCAAGATTTTATGTAACTACATTCATCATTTTTTTATTTGATTACTACCAATTCTCCTTCTTTAATATTAATTGCATTTATTCTTCTGTATAGACTCCATAAATTAAATCATCTGACTTTATTTATTGGCTTTATACAATGATCAATTCGGATTTGTTCCTTTCTAGATGATATTGCGAATATTTAGGAATTTAATTCTTTATTTAGATTATTGGATAATCAGAAAATTGTAGTACAAAGAAATATTAAAAGAGGGAAATCATGCATTTAATCAAAAATTCTACACTTGGCTTATTACAATTTAAAGCTTCCAAACTTGTTGTTAATTTTACAAAACTGGGGATTAAAT